TTAATAGCCGTAGGCGGTCGTTAATGTCAATGACTATCAAAAGGATGAGAATAAAGATGAAGTGATGATTTTCCAACGGTCATGATCTTCTTCCTTGTCATGTAACTCAATACTATTCGTGGTGAAGGTCTCGGGTGGAAGGCGTTGAGTAAGTTGGGTGGTCGGGAGACAAACATGGACTAGGTTGTCCTCTCACTACTAATACCTTTATCTTCGTTTCTCTTGGAAGGAAGCCGCAAGCTCGAGAAGGTCGGACGTCGATCTCTTGGTGTAATGCTCGTCAGGCGTTCACGACCTCTACAAGAGTCTAAGATCTGGATGCGCGACGATTGCTTAACATCATTATGATCTTATCTTTTAGTCTAATTGCTGGTTGTGGTTGGTACTTTTCTAAGGGATGTCGGAAATGTACCTCAAAGCTGATCTAAATGAAACCACATGTTTAATCACTTTCAAGTATAGTAAGAAATCTTGAGGATAGGTTTTAATCTCTTGATGGTAAACAAATCCCAGCGCATCTGATGATTTACTTGATGAAAATGAAGACAAGAAGAGGCTCGTGTCTACCGCGAGGGATTCCCCTTGAAAATTACCCTCCCAGCGTCCATGTCCACTCTTGGACGACTCCCACAAGATTGGTCTGTTGATCCTTGGCAAGTAAAGAAGCCGCAAAGGCCGTGGGAACAAAGTACAAGTCTATCTGAGGGAGAATACGAAGTTAAAACGTATATATATATAAGCCCTATCGTATCTTCAAGTCGTTTTAATAAAATCACTAAATCCTCTTTGTCCACTTGGCCTTAGCTCAGCCCCCAACGCAATTTCTTGACCTCGTCAAATCGATTATCCCTTCTGGGTTCATGCTCTGTGGCTTCTGACTTCTCATGCTCCGTCGAGCAAAGACTTCTACAAGACTCTAGAAGATTAGCGCTGATTTCGTAGTCAAGCGTAACCTAAGGATAATTGACCCAGGTCGGGGAAATATCTTCTCCCAATGTTACCAAGGTAACCGATCAACTTGATTGACCATTCTCACCAACATCCCGCGACTCTCCAGCTGGGTCAGTTATTGCAGACCCAATGAGCATGACAGCGAATAAACAACTTTATGATCTATGCAACTAAGTCCGCTGTAAAACCATTGTCCCTTGCATCTGCTCATCCTACGGATGAATTATGAATCGGAAATGGGTAATAAATATTGGAGAGCATTGTACTGTTATTAATTATTAATAGAAGAGCTTAACGGGATATGGTGATGCGACTGACCACTGGAGTTGATCTAGAATATCAAGTGTCTTGTGGTAATGATACCCACGTCTACTTCAATATTTATGCCTTGAAATTCTAGACACAAAAATCTCTATTTAAAAATAGGTTACATATTTCCACGCTACGAGATTTATTCTCTTATTCTTGTGATACTGTCAGCAAACTTTATCCTGACTTTATGAGATCATTGTCCCGTCATTAAACCATCTCCAGAACTATTTTCGAGTTAGAAGAAGATCAATAGAGACATTTCTAATCAAACAGAGTAGAAAAAAAAGCAAAACAAAAACTTCCAAGTCAATAGTTGACAAAGCGAAAATGACATACTGGTAATTCATCTAGAGTGGTTAATGATACTTGGCAGCATATAAAAAAAATATTTCTAGCCACTCAAGTGACACTGATGAAACAGTAAAAAGGTTTTTCTTTTTAATAACATTACGGAAGTAAATAAACATTAAGTATAATTGTCTTGTTTACAGAAACTTGAAAAAAAATGTAGCTATTATTCAACTATTTTCAGATACTCAAATGTCTTATTTGCGGGAAAAAATTAATCATTCAATGAAGAGAAAGAGTCACAGAGCAAAGACCGGAAGTGAGCTAAGAGTGTTTGGTCACGCGTGGTTGCTTGTATGCTACTCGAAGTGGAAACTGTTTCCTTTTACATCTGTCAGTAATGATGTTTGATTTACATGCGTAGTGAGTGCGATTTTACCAGTTCATCGAGAGTATGAGTATATAACAAAAAAATTTAAAAAAAACGTTATAACGTAAAGTGTGCAAAAAAATGAGTTTATTTGCTCAACATTTGTATCCACGTTCTTCTTCTCTTTCTCAGTCGTAACCACAATCGCCGAGAGGGGTCTTAGGGCACTTAGGAACGTTCTTGAGAGCGGCAGATCACGGAAAAGCAATCCCATCCATTTTGTTTGATCAAGCCAACGTTTCCCAAGTGTAATCCAGTTGACTCTTCTTCGCAAGGAAAGAATTTTTTCCATTTTTTTCTCAACAACCACGAGATGTAAGAGCTCTCAATGCCTCTGTAATCACACCAAGTCTCTTGGTGAACATTTCTTCTGTCGATCAGCAAGTCTCTAAACCATGCGCGTGAATTTCTCCTTGTACATCTCCTTTGCACGTACGATTCTACTTAAACAAGCAAAAAAAAATCTCATACACGTTTCTATGTTCACATGAGAAGATTTATGATAACTATCTCATCTAATCTCTTTACTTTGTTTCGCTTACAAGAGTTTATAATCTGAATAAATAATAGCTCTGTTCATCTTCAATATTATAGCTTCAAATCAAACTATGCTTTTTAGGGTGACAAGTTTTATTATCATACCTATTAATAACTCAACTTGTATAATAAATTTACTAACATTTTCTCTTGGAATCATTATTCTTCGCTTGGAATACAAAATTTATTAAACTTCTAGACTAAAAGACGTTCATAGAGTTTGGTTTGATTTAGTTTGTACATCAAAATTGTTGATGAACTCATAGATATTCTTATAGAGATGTCTAGCTATTTTATGTTTACTCCAAAAAATATACCTAGTATTAATCAATCTTGTTGAAACTCAATAAAATAAATTTCCTTACAAGAGTTTTAATTTATCATAAAATCGTTAAATCCAAAGCATCAATTAGTAGAAATATTATGTTACAAATTAAAAAAAAATTTTAATTAAAATGAAAGCAAAAGATGAATGAATTAAGAATAAAATAGTGAGTGATTTAGTCATTAAAAATTTTTTCCACGTTCTCCTGGGAAGATTTATGATAAGTATCTCATTTAATCTCTTTATTTTTCAAACGCTTACAGGAATTTATACGTTAGATAATTGCAGCAATTTATTCTTTGCTTAATAATGTTTTTATATTACACTTAATGCAATCATATTGGGGACTGAAACAATAAATTCAATTACTCGACTTCCCAATTTGGTGTTGATACTTGAAGAAAAAGTACTTGAGCATGTGTTGATTAACATAAGAAAACTTAGAATGAGCTTTCGATCGTTGTTTATTAGTAAAAGAGTGGAATATAACTCAAGTCGTTATTGCATGAGTTAACGTTGTTTTTGCCTAGATACTGCTTTAAAATCCAAACCAATTAAATCGTTGCTAAGCTTGGTATACACATAAATAAAACAGGTGTTAATATCTCCGCAGGATATAGAAAAGAGCTCCAAGACATGAGGGTGCGGCTACTACTAGTCTTTACTACCCTTGGGAGATCATAAATGCTACCATCATTGCCTTCAAACATAACTGAATCATTTGATAATTCTACTTTGAAATGTCTCATCCCGTTGATCGTTTATTTCATTTTCTCCTCTTTCCTCTTTAATATTTGATGCATATAAATATAATCTATAGCCAATTAAAATTTAAGCAAATTCATTTAGCAAATTTGTAAGTCAGTTGATCTCCAATAAAAATTTATTCTGTAATTAATCTGGTATAAAAATTATTGTAGAGCAAAAAGGAATTTTTCCAGCACGTTCTCTTAGACATTGATAAGATGATTTTCAATTTTATTAAAGACATGAAAAAAAAGGCTTCATAAAACATGCAATGAATTATATAACGTCTCTACTGAAGGAGAGGATTTTACATGTTGTTGATCAACATTCTAGTGATGGGCAAATTATGATAATTTTCTCGGGATCGAGAGCTTAATCAAAGTGCCTGAAGGATTTAAAGAATCGAAAGAAAGTTGGCAGGACTGTATTTAACTTTTGTTTCTCTAGATGCGTGATTTCGAAGGCTCCTTAATCTAGTCTCCATATCGGACTAGTTGGGATGCAACGGTAACGGAGTATATATCGTAGCTGGAGGGTCTTTTACTTGTTCCTCGTTCTTCTTCATGTCTTTACATATCTTCACTCCTTTCCTCCTTTCACTCGCTACAGTAAAACGACGCACTATTCTTGTCTCTCCAGGCAGTCAACACATGTTTCTTGATGTTACGTTAACGTACGTCGTTAACCCTCGCGGCAAGAGACTTAATTGCATTTGCATGCAAATCGTCGTTGCAAATGTTGAAAAGTACAGAATACTATGCCGCATAACTGCGCATCGACGATATAAACGCATTTGAAGCATTCACTATAGCACCAACAGTCACACGCAGAAACATGTGTGATCATGTGCTGTGTTGCACTTCTTATCTTTAGCCAATCTTTCATTCTTTTTCCTGTCTTCTTTCGTTGTTACAACTCTTCAACGAGGTAAACAAGTAAGAGTATCTGTACGTGACTGTAACAATCATCAACAACAACTTCCAACTGGATGCATTGTGTTCACGTTATAACAATAATTAACCACCGCACGCCTGCGCGTACTCAAGATGATTCAGGTTAACGATAACGTTGATGACAGATTAGTTCTTCCCCCGCGGTATTCATTTTCTCATCGTCCAGGACCTGGGAATCCTTGTGAGATTGTTACACAAGAATATGTGTACCACCCGGGCATTATTCACGGCCTCATTAATCTACCTGCGCGATCTGCTTTCAATTACTTCCCTTCGTGCAAGATATTAACCTTGAGACTTCTAAACATAAGAATGCTTTTGGACCAATTTAATCCCATCATTTTTATTTTAAATTAGCCAAGTATTTACCTTTATCAATTAATCTTATTATCGTAGTTTCATCAAGTTTATCTTCTAACATTTGAATGCTTCTATCGATAACTGATTACTTGAATCCCTCCAACTTGTGTTGTGCCAAGTAGTCATTATCACTTCCAGATGATTGAAGTTCAGACCACTGTGATTAAATACATTTAATACCACAGCTGTTTATCTTACTCCGAATGAAGGATTCCAATCTTCTACCCACCGGCAACTAAAAAAAGAAAAAAATAGATAAATCTTAGTAACAAATATAATTTTATTGATGGCTTTTTAATTTAAAAACAGTCCGTTAAATGTGTGTGAAGAATAAGTGAATGGATTAACGGCTGAGAAAAAAAAGAGTATGATTGATTTCAACATAGCATAAGATAAGCAAGTGAATTCAACAGGGAATATCACTGACCTAGTGGTCGAGCCTCAAGATCAAGTTGCTTGCACGCAACCGCATACGTAATAGCAGGTGTCTTCGTATAACTGCAAAGAAAAGAAAATGAGTTACCTACAAGTCCCGTATGTATATACGAGTGGGAGCAATGGAATATGCGAATGGTTGCTCGAGTTTATCGAGAATGCGAGAACTGACGTCAAGACGCAACACTATCTTTGAGAAAAGGATAAAGAGAAACTTGTTTAAGAAATGACTAAGCTCTAGGCAAATCAAGTTTCCCGTTTATTCAACCTCCGTTTTATTAATTAGATCAACTACAAATCTGTTGCACTATCATTATACCATTATTTAGCCATTTTCTATAATTTATATTCTGATATATTACCACCCTCTTCACCTCTATCAACCCTGTTAATTCCTTTATGTACTATGTATGGTTACGCTTTTAAGTAACTGATGTACGATTATTATTCATCCATTTGTTACAAATGCTTCAATACAACATTCTTAGCATATCGTCTTCGGTTACTTAAACACGTTTAGCTTCAAGATATAAGTTACAAGGAATATTTCTCCACTAGACTTATCCCTCTTCAGGGTGGTAAAATGTCAGAACAAGTTGTCTGTTGAAGGAAAATTATATTAGCTCCGGATAACCAAGAAATTTGATGCATTAAAATTTTTAGATTAAAATATAACCTCAAAGTATTGATTATGTAGTAAATAAATTGACTAAAGGGGTAATTTAAGAGCCAAAGTAAATTTATAACCATCAATTATAAAAATTAACGGTTTCAACATTGATAGAAAATAGTTTGGAATCGTTTGCTAATGATGTTAAGGAAAAATGAGTAGTGATCCGTTTTAATAATATACTTGATGAATGTTTTTAATTAAATTAAATCAAGACAACAGATCAGGTATAATTTGTGGGTTAATTACAGTATTTCAAAAGAAATACTAACACCGTGTAGTTGAATAAATAATGAAGAGAAAAAAGAGTAGGATTTAATTGAATCTTAGAATATAAAGTTCTCTCTGGTTGATGGTTAATAACACGTTAGCTGTGAACTGTGGGGGAATTACCCTAATTATCACTGAATAGCTGTCAAAGGTGCATTTCTTACGCCAGAAACAACAAGTTTTTACGTAGAACAAGAAACTCGAGCACGTTCGCCGGATGTAGAGAGGAACGTTGCGGTAGTCTTTAGAGACTCTAGCCATTCATTTTCTCTAGGTTAGATGGGTTCTCTCGTTGTTCATGTGTCCGGCTGACATCTATGATTCTCACACAGCAGTTTTCACACATGACGCGGGAGCAAGAGTAGTTGTTACAGGTTATTACGTTGGTGGTTGCGTGATAGAAAACTGTTGGCTTCACTAGGTCAAAACTGTGATGATGCAGAGTCGCTATTCGTACCCTGAAGGCCATCAATGTCTGTTGCAGTAATGAAGCGCAACTTTTGCATGATAGAAAATAGTCACTCCTTAAGGTATAAATCTTCCTTGAAATTTCGTGTTGTTCAATATCATTCATTATCAATGATTCGTACATGATAAGTATCCATCCAAGATCCACTAGATGTATACAAACACATCATATGTATTCTTCTTTATCTCTAACATCTTGTATTCTCCTTTCTTTATCATTTTGTTTCTTTCAGTATCTTTTATTAACCCTCAGCGATAACTCGTTTCCGATTCGATTCATCGGCCATTCCCGGAAGAACATTTTATAATCACTTGGCTATTCCTCACGGTCGGTTGAAAATCATCCTTATGCAAGGGAAGAACCTTGTACACTCTTGTTGCATACACTAGATTAACTCAACCGTGGACAGAAGTAGAGCAAAGGCACTCTGTGCTTGGTAAATAGGTTTTGCTACACTAAGAGATATCTAAAGAAATATGGCAAGACGGAGAAAACAAGACTTGGAAATTCCAAAGCGTGATCAATATATTTTTATTTATCCACCACCAGTTTGTTAAGCTTTTTGCTTTATTGCTATCAATTATTTTTTCTCTATACTCTCCAACTCATCAACTTTTTTACTATTCATGTGTATACAATCATGATCGAGCTATTTACATGATTTTTAAACATTTATTATCAACAAATAATACACTTATCACTTTTTACTTCTATTTAATGTAGTTTAGATAATGGATATTATCATTAAAATTCTCAGCTTTAGTATTACATTAATTTCACACTCAATTTACTTCTTTTCAAGGTAGTAAAATGTTCATATTGGCGTTCACATCAAAATATAATGAACAATGGCTTTCAAAAGCAGATGCTGCTACCAACTAAGGCTGACGTTTAAATTTGTAAATTACTACCTAACGGTTATTTTTATGGATGCAGTTGGGTGACAGCTATGTCATATTTTACTTTAATCTAATTAAAACAAAAATTGCATAATATTCATTGCCTTTAAAATTAACTATAAAGATCCAAGATCTTGCTTCAATTTTACTTAAACCAATTTTTAAAACACTTTCTTTTATAATATAACTTGAATATTTGCTTGCAGATTAGCATGGATTCTACTGGTAGCTACATTAAATTTTGCTCAAATAAATGCAGAAGAGGTAGATGTTGAAAGGACGAATTCTGAAAGTCCAGTGGAAGATGCAACAGAAGACTACTGGGCCGGAAGTGGATCTGGTCCAGAAGAGGTGGAGTTGAATCGAACAGAAATTCGGGAAGCTCTAACTCATGAAGCAAGTGATCAAGATGCTGTAAGTATCTCAACTACTTCAATAATTCTTGATAAAAATTGGAATTCATACTTTGTGTTGAGAGAATTGAAGATTTGTGAATTATGCAATGTTCCGTAAGTTTCCGCTGGTTGAATCGTTGATCGACGAACGGTTCTAGTCTTAGGATTGCCGGCAGGAAGAAGCCGTCTGCTGGCAGGACAACGGCGTAAGATGATTTGAACGTAAAGCTAAGATGCTGAAGAAAGCAAAAGATAGAATGAGGGGATGAGATGCCTTGAGGTCCCGGTGTCGGTCATCATTCGCCTTTCCAACGTGCTACTACTATACACGTTTCGTCAGTTAACGCTTCTTAACTCAGTCCATCAACTCTAATTCATACTTCGTGCTTTTTCAAATCTCTTCTCACAGTCATTACCGAAATAAACACACTTATTTTCGATTACTCTTTTTCTGCAGGCCATAAAATTGCACGAATAGAATTTTTATCACCATCATAATGATTGATTCTTAAAGATTATATTCCAATAAATCTCAGACACTGGTTTCAAAAGGTCCTGTGATGATTAGCTGAAGAGTTATGAGCATCTAAACTGCGTACTAACATTTGTGCTTTGATAATTAATAACTAGATGATAAAAAGCCGTTGAGTGAAAATAAAAAAATAAAATGAATGCTTAAAGTGTACAGTTTTAGGTAAGTATAGAGGTAGTTTATTAACCATCAATTTAAAGTGGTAATTTTGCAACAAAAGAATTCGGTTATATATTGGAGGATGAAGATTCTGAAGACTCTAAGATAAAGAGAATGAAATGGAGGGATGATATGCCTTGGAGTACCAACGCTAGTCATCATCTGCCTTTCCAACGTGCAGCTACTGCACGTTTCGTCGGTTAACGCCCCGTCTGGCTTGCGACTAGGAAACGATCGCGTTTTATCACTCGACAGTTCCTTGGCGTTTACCGTTGATCGTAAATCAACGCTGAGTATCAATTTTCCCGTTAAAAAAATCGGATTACTACGCAGGAATCTTTGATTTAGAATTGTCTGATAGAATCGTGAAGAAGCCCGCAACAGACTGCTGACTCCTGCTAGTCATTGGCCACTGAACCGTGACTTGTCTCTTGAAGACATCCACCTCAGCATCCCCCTGATATGCTAGTGCATAAAGTAGCTCGACTAATGACTCAAGATCGTGAACCACATGACCGTTAATCGACGCATGAATGCGCGGGTGTCGACGGTGCGTCTTCGTGATGCTCGTCAACGTGTCACGAAATGAACAGGATGGATAACGTGATGTCATGTAGACACGACCATGCATTCTTGACACGACAATTTTGCTTCCTGGTATATCTTTAGAACTTGGAAAATGCTTTTGCGATCTTAGATATATTATGTTCGGCTAATTTAATCACAATCTTTATGATTATTTACCTAGGATTCATGCTAAGAAATTAATTTGTACGTTAATCAAAAACACTCATGGCTATTTCATCTTTTATAATTATTGAAATCTACAAAAAATTTATTTTAAACATTAAATAAAAATTTATAATAGTTATATTCAAAATGGATTATTTAAAACAAATTGAGCCTAATTAGGTAGACGATTTATTAAAGTAGGTTAGTATTCAGACAATCAATGAATTTTTGAAGAAATAAAACCTGATTAATTCTCTCTTGTCTGGATAATAAATTAACATTGATATCTGATATCAAAATGATCGATTAAAACGAGTAAACAGCTATTTCGATGAGAGATATTAAATGTTCAAGTATTCAAATGATAATATGTATACATTTACAGGTGGTTTATGTTGGAGAAGGTGCTCAATATGTTCCTGTCCCTGCTATCAAAGCCAGAACCCCACTCAGTCCTAATCTTCAAGCTCTCCAGACACTTCAGGGTCTCCAAGGTCTAACAAGTGGTGGTGGTGGAGGGGGTACAGGATCAGGAACAAGTACTGAAGACGAGTGGGGACGACATCCTGAAACTTGGGATCGAGAACATCGAAGATATCGACCTAATACTACTAGAGTTCAACGTAAGATTAAATTATGTTTCCCTTAATAACATCTTTCAATCTTAATAACATGATTTTTTATTCTAATCTATTCATAACAGTTTTATTCCTTTTATAAGAATTAATATCTATAGAATAAAACATTCTAGATTGAAGCAAGATGATAAAAATAAGTGTAGATAAAAATGAATAGTGATGATAAATTATTCACAAGAATTTTTTTCTCATGCACCTGTTGCTAAATCTAAAAATACACTGACCTAAACAACTTGATAAACCCTATAAACATTCCTTTAATACTCTAGTCTCGGGACACTTGTCAGCTACTACTAAGAGATATGGTATTATATAGGTACGTCTGAATCAGTCCCGTTAGCGTGACAATTAAAACGGTGTTGGAAGTCGTATAACGCTGACACCGTGCTCAGCAGCAGTGGCTATTACTAGTCGTCTTCAGTCTCTTGATCTTATTTCCATTCTCAAGTGGATGCAAATAGTAATGAACAGACTCGAGCTAACGCTTTCTTTAAAGATACATCTAAAATAGGTCTGATTATGAACTCACTTTTGTACTTCCTCTATTAATTCTCTAATGAAGAAGAATTACATAAAAAGTACATAATTAATCAGTGAAATAAAATATTACATTAATTTTTAAAATGGGTTAATTCTATAATAATTTTCAATGAATATAATTTTTATTTTAATATTTAAATATTTAAATGATGAAATTTTTAATTGTTCATAAATTCTTAGAACATCATAATTATTTTTAAGAATTTTTTCAATTTGCTTAGAATTTACTCTTTAAACTTTTTTCCCGAAACGATCTAATAATTTTTTTTGTAACTATTAAACTAATTAATAGTGTATTTTTTATGTTAAATAACAAGTTAGAATATCAGATGACATATCATTAGAAATAAATACATAATATTACATAATAGCACATAATTTATCTTTATTCTACAGAAATACATATTATCAGAAAATAGAACGCACAGATTGATAAAAAAAAATCTTGTCTCAATGTACAATTGGCATAACAGATACAAAGTTGCTAAACATTAGTCTTCAAAAGATTTGAAAATAATTCTACGAACTGTTGCATTGAAAAAGAATAAATACGGGTATTTATAACCCGTTATAACTACCTATCGATAATTAGTTTAAAATTCATATGATTATTACAAATTTTAGTATTAACAGTTTGTGTAAAAGCAAACACGAGGGGTATTATATTTTATAATTTGATGATCGAAAAGCCCTAAAGGAATGATAAATTTAACGGAAGAAGAAATACTAACACAGAGAATAATTATGATGATGATGGCAGTGATGAAGGATAGACTATAATAAGAATAAAAAAGTTCAATCGCATCTTTTATCATTGCTTATGTGTAGGATTATTGAAGTTCACAATTAGCACAATTATGGAGGGTTGGAGAAATAGGAACAGTCACGCAATATCTCTCGCGGAAACGTGAGAGTAGATACATTAAAGTTCGAATGATTCATAATATCATATTGCTTACAATACTCATTAAACCACGAAATTGTTAAAATTCATCAGATGCACTAGCCCGGAAGAAAATTGTTCGCGATTCCCGTGGAATCGTCAATTACCCGAAGACGAAGCGATTATAGGTTTAGTACTCAGCATTCTCTAAGACCAATTCCCATAAATCCTCCACTACTTGAATTCTTGCTTCTTAACTTTTTACAGCACGTCCTCGAGGACTTGTTTTTCACTTTTTTTATTTATTTCATAAGATCATTTTTAACTAAACTCCGGCAAACTCTCCCTCAATCAACCTCTAAATTAGTCATGAATTAAATATTTTTCTCTTCGGCACTAATGCACATGATGACGAATCTTTTATTTTCAAAACATATTCCATTGATTAGTCAACCATTTCCCAGGGTTGTTTTGAGATTATCAGCAACAAAATTGATAGCTTTTGAGGAAGAAAACCTAACATTGATGAGCAATGAAAAAAAATTCTGATGAAATAAGGTTTTATTATCCATTTGCGATGAATTTTGAAGATTTAATCAATCTTTTGTAAACCCTATAATAATCTTTAGAGTTTTTATGAATAAGAATATAAATGAATAAACTTTAATTTCTTTTATTTCCAATATTTTAAAATAATTATCTACCACCATATCCTTGAGAATTACCTATTCATCGTATAAATATCTGTAGTCCATAACAACCTCCATCTTTCCACATTCCGAATATGAGTAAACTTACTGCCAATTTTCCCCACTGAATCTTGAATCTCCGGAAGGAGGAAAACTATTGTAATGTTGAGAAGACTTCATTACTAAACCTTTCCGGATCGTTTCCCCCGAAAATTAGTCTTACAAAGTCTCTCTTTTATTTAGAAAACTGTTAGAGACAAGTGTTAGAGACATGAGCTTATTAGAGTTAACTTGCAAAATAATCCTAAAACTAACCTTGATATTTCATCACCATTATCAGTTACTATTTTTGAGCTAAAAAAGTTGAGCTTACAGTTATGAATAAGAAATTAAAGATAAAAATGATCACGCAATTCAAAGTACTTTCTGTACGTAATAAAAACGTTATAGAACATTGTATCATCATTCCAAGCTTCTCTGAAGCATGACTATCCTTAGCAATCTCTACCGCCGCTTGTTTAGACACGTCGTTACGTGTGCCTTCTTCTCTTAACCTCCTCCTTATCACGAAGAGCACACGCGTACACAACAAACACTACACATATAAAGCATTTGCTTCTTTTACTTTCACTTGCTCCATCGATGACCGGATTCTCTAACGGAAACTAACTTATTCCATCGGATGTTGCACGAGAACCTCAGGGCCGTGAATAACGAGCTGCTTTGTACACGCTACCCTACCAAAAGATTCTGTTTCATTAAATATTAAGCGAATTTCTACGAAGTTATTTATTTTTGAAATGTACATATTTTGCATAGTTATTTGAATAAATTTTAATGATATACCAACAGATTCTTGTAAAATTGAAGGCTTCTTTGGTGTAGCTTAGAAAATAATCAATCACTTAGGGAGAACAATTATTTAATGATCCTAAATTATTTGTGAATATTGTTTTTAAAGTGTTTTTTTTTTTATTTACAATTACCGTTAAGTTAGCAAAATATTGCTTCTTGAAAAAAATCACAAATTTTAAATTATTATAAACGAGCACATCTGGCCAATAAAGAATAATATTGTCTTGTAAGAGTTAAAGGGTGATAGTTGTAACAGGAAATTTTCGGATTAAGTATCGGAAAAAATTTCAGTTAATCATTAATCAATTACTGGGAAATTATTAACCATGGTTATTAACCATTGCAACAAATAGAAACTGTCAATCATGCGATGAATTAATAATTTCAAAAATAAAATTAAACGTCTTTCACTACTGACTAAAGAATCACTTTTCAATTGGTAACACAATACTATTTTTCAACTTTATCAATACAAAGAGTGTTTTGTAGAAGCACATTGTTGTATTCCAACGAGATTTATTTAAGTAATTTTCAATTTACAAAACAATTGTATTCTAACTAATATTATTCGTTATTTAATATTGGATATAGGTTTAAAGGAAGGTAATTTTTAACAGAGATTTAGTATAGACTTGTCGAAGGAAGAATTGTAACTGATTTGACTAGTGAAGGATGATGATCATATTTATATTAGTGCATGGTGTGCATTAGGTACTATTATATGGTTGATGGTAGGGCAAAGGTTCCAACGTGGAAAGTTAGGAAATTTGGGCATTAAGTCAGTCACCGTAGTTTTATTGCATTTCTTTGAAAAAGTCATAAAGTTAGAAATTTAGAAAATCTTTAGTAAGAATTAGAAAGTTTAATAATTTTATTTTAATTGTCAGTAAATTCTTTTTGTATTAATAATAGCTTGTTTTAATAATTTTATTGTTAATATTGGTAAATCATTAGGTTTTCCAACAACATGTAGGGCATAGGACATTTATAATAAATGTTTGATTAAAGATCAACTCATTCTGTAGGATTTTTATGTTACAATCATTCAGAAGAGCTCAATGAAAAATATTCAGCTTGAACAATGTTACACTGAGATCCATTGAATTCTATGAACACAATTTTGTCGTTGGAACGTTGAATCTTTAATGCAAAGAACATATAGTGTAACAATAAATAATTTGAATAATAAAATTTGATCATTGTTCTTATTTTTTACAGACATCGAGGCAGAATGTCAAGACGACTACATGAAGATCCGAATCGGTTTCAATGGATCTTTCACAGGACTCTTATATTCAGCTGGTAAGAAATCCTGTCATGTTTTCAATTTTGATTTTTTTTTCTCAACCCCCCAATGACTGTCGAACATGATTGAAATATGGCTGAGTCATGGCAAATAGCATAATTGTCGAGAATGAAATTAAATTTGCTCTATCACATGACAGATCAATTGTGCAAAAATATGATGAGTTGTGGATTATAAAGGAGAGTGATAGAGGAAGAGGGAGGTTGGTGGTAAGAAAAAAATTGAAAGAAAGGTGTTGCTAATGAGTAATGATTGAACTCTTCCCTACTCTTTCTTCTCGTGTTGTTTGAGATTGATCGATATTGATATCAATCTACCGAGCGGATCGAATTACATAACTTGGTAAGAGACAATTGCTCCTTAATTACAGGTTACTCTTATGATCCTGATTGCATGTACGTCAACGGTACTGGTCGAGATTACTATGAGTTTTATATTCAACTCAATCGATGCGGCACTCTAGGTGAGAATACCCATCATCAAGACAGCAGGAAAAATCCAACGGTAATGACTTTTTTTTTAATGCACTCAGTCAAGAAAAAATTCTGATATAATTAATAAATCATTGTCGATACGAGTATTTATTCAATCAAACTAGATAGAGATAGAATCAATCATTAGGTAGGATAAGCATACAAAAGAAAATATGATCAAGATAAATGAACTAATCACTAGTGATTTTATGTTGTTAAAAAAATTATTTTTTAGTAAGCTAAATAGAATATTTATAATTGATACTAATGTAATGAAACGTTAGAACAATATTAATGTATCGTTAATTATAATAAATGGGAATTAACTTTCAATACATCATTTATCAATAAATAAACACTTTGTATCTCATTAATTTTTTTTTCTTCATTGTATTATGAAATTTCTACCCATTAAATACTTTGCAAAACAGTTCTTCTTTTCTTCAATCAAAACAATAATATTGTGTAATTTTAATCGACGTAATAAATCTTCAGCTACTTTTATTGTTTTATTTATTTTTGTATAATTGAATTACTCTTTTAATTATGGTATTTACTTTTCCACTTTTATTTTTGCAGAAAAATCTCATGTGGAATACTGTTACTGTTCAATATAATCCACTTATTGAGGAAGAATTTGATGAACATTTCAAAGTGACGTGTGAATATGGATATGACTTCTGGAAGACTGTTACATTTCCTTTCCTTGATGTAGAGTGAGTGATTATTATAATTTCATTTTTTATAAATGACAATTTCCTTTCTTTGTTAATTATTAACTGTTAATCATAATTAGTAAGAATTACTAATATTACTATAATGACTGGTGCTATTTTAAAAGGGTAATTTACTTGAAAATTATCTTTTCAAAAAATCAATCACCTGAAAAATTATAGCAATCATTATTTTAATTTTTAAAATAACACAATTACATGTAAACCTTCATTTTCATTTGAAATAAATACCTTTTATTCAAATGATGATAAACAGATGGCATGATAAAAAATATAAATAAATATAAAACGTTGAACAAATAAAGAGAAGTTCAATCTAAATGATGACTCTTGCATTCCTACGAAAGCTTTATTAAAAATCGAAATAAATGATTTCCTACAGAGTTGCTACGGGGAATCCTGTGGTGTTCACGCTACAGCCACCAGAATGTTACATGGAGATAAGATATGGGTACGGAACCACTGGAACAAGAGTAGCAGGACCTGTAAGAGTTGGAGATCCTCTTACGCTTATCATCTACATGCGCAGCAAATACGATGGATTTGATATTGTAGTGAATGATTGTTACGCTCACAATGGTGGAAACAAACGGATTCAACTCATTGATCAATATGGATGTCCTGTAGATGATAAACTTATCAGTAGATTTAGAGGATCGTGGTCTGAGACAGGACTCTTTGAAACTCAAGTCTTCGCCTACATGAAGACTTTTAGATTTACTGGATCTCCTGCTCTATACATCGAGTGTGATGTGAGGATGTGTCATGGAAGATGTCCGGTAATTTTTCATTATTTTATTTTTTTCTTTTAAAATGTAAGTTTTTATTATTTTCATTTTTCTTTCTGTAATGAATGGGATAATTTATCATTAGCCGAGTTCATTACGAAAATGATAATTACGTCTACGTTATTAAAGTTTTAATAAAAATCCATCCTACGGAAGATTACTAAGTAAAGTTCTCAGTAGTCAACAAGACGAAACTATTCATACTATATTCTTCGAGATGAAAAATTTTTTTTTAGCTCTAAATTATATAGAGTACGTGATTATATGTATTTAATTATGTAGATTTTACTATAAGACTTTAATGATTACAATATAATTGAAATTATAGTGTTTGAGAAAATTGTTGATGATTTCAGAAGATGATAATGTTGATTATATATTCATAACAAAAATATTATTTTCCAGAGTCAACCTTGTCATTGGAGAAATTCAAAGAATGTTGCTAAACGGTCTCTAGCTATTGGAGGTCCTACTACACCTGCCACAAGTTTATCGGAGAATGTCAACCTCTTCCAATCATTACGAGTTCTTCAAGAAGGTGAAGCTGAAGCTGAAATATTTCAAAATACAACAATTGCTTCACAAAATGGTAAATGAAGTAAACTTATCTAATATCTAATTTTAATCATTAAAGAAATTTAAAAATAATGCATAATTAATGAATTTATGAATTCTATTCTACTTCTAGGTCCAAGTGAAGCATCAACTGCAGACAAAGTGTGTCTGAGATCAACAGTCATAAATACAATAGTAGGATTTAGTTGTGCTTTTGTTTGCACAATGGTTGGAATTCTTCTTATTCTTTGTTCGAGAATACGACGAGCAGCAAGAGAAAAGCTTCTTAGTGACAGTCTCAGTTATATGACTCATAAAGGACGAATTAACTAAGAGATACCGCAATGTATTGGGTAAAATGGTAAATTTAAATCTTCAAACGAACCTCTTGTTTCCGCATACAATAATTGTGGAAACCACAAACCTCTCGTGCTTGCGGTTTTAATTTATAATTCGCACACGCGACGAGATTTTAATGAATTAATAAATTAATAAATCTCATATTTATAATTAAGAGTCTTCTGACCAATAATACGCCATTTTTTAATTAATATTGTTATTAAAAGAAACTTAAATTATTGATTATGATCAATTTGCAATTTAAGCGTTATTAAAAAAACATTTTTCGTTTAAAAAAATTGATAAGAATTTAATCTTAAACATCTTAAACGATTAAATAGGCGTATTAGCAATAATTTAAATAGAAAAATAATATATATATATAATCAATAATCGATAGCTAAATATTACAGAATCGATGCAATAAAGCTTGATACTTTTTAAAAAAATTTCAAGTGCCTTTTTCTAATGGAACAATGATTATATAACATAATTAAGACTTAAAAAGTAAAGATCAAATTGTTTTGCATCGTTTAAAAGATATGAAAATTTTTTCAACGCATATTTAACAATGATTCATATTCTCTTATCATTAATTATACTTTTATCATGCATTATTGTATTAAGACTCTTTTTTAGCCTCATTCATTTGCATATATATACTTGCAATTAAATATGCAATAATATAGTTAATTATAAGTGCCTTGACGCGAAAAACACAGCCAGTGAGGATTAAGTAATATTTCGAGTGAAAGCTCATGTCATATCAATCAGTAAGAGAGTAAGGATTTACGCTTTATGAGTTAATTTTTTAATTGTTCTATTTAATTTTTCTCTGCTTGAAAAAATTTATTTTAATTATTTCGTTATTTTTCAAGGTTGTTTTATGCAATAATCCAATATAAGAAAAGATAAACATTGATGAATGACTATAAAGGACTGTATGATTTTTTTATTGCTTTTTGTTTCCTTCTGATTGTTTGGAAAAATATTAGTTTCCCCTTCTGGCTGTTCTGAGAAAAATTTGCGAATTTACTTCGGTTTTTTTCTCGGCTAAATTAATTCTTGTAAATATAGTTTTATTGGCGACTGTATGATTAATTATTATTATTTTTATAATTATAAAAAATTTCTATGAATAATATTAATATTATTATTAAATTTTTTCATTTTTTATCATGACCATCATAATAACAATCGTGTATATCAAGGTATTCAATAAATCATAGAATCGAATTATTATGCTTTCTTAATAATATGAATTAATTATTAATAAAGAACTTTTCATAAATACGTTCAATGAATTTATTTATAATCCTTGTTGTCATGGGAGAAAGAATTTATTACCGGTAAATTAAAAACAAAATACTAATCAATATTTCTTCAAGAGTTGAGAGCTGTGAAGGCTGGAAAAGGAAGACCGGAAATTAGTTCGAACTTGTAGGAGTCGGTCAAGTGGTAAATAGATCATTAATTGATTAATGAGTCGCTCCATTTAATTGAATGAAAATATATATTGTATTTGAGCATGTGTATACACAATTAAAAATAATTAACAAGTTTGTAATAATTTACGTGGCTTCGATAAATCTTTGCTGAATTCCATACGATGTTTAGCTCCTGTTGCATCACGGAATTGATCGATAGTTATGTTGGCATAGTCGAATTGCTGAAATGATGTTAGATTTACGTTCGCTGGATAATCAGCATCTCCAGGTAATAAATATACAGCTCCATCGGACAGCTTTACAATCACCTGAGGTATTTAATTTTATGCAGTTAGCTTTTTTATTTTCAAAGAAAATTATTAATTTAGAGAAGATACTTACAGGTAATTTAAAATCAACGCCTGTTTTATTGAAATCAATTGCATAATGGAGTAGATCATTAAAAAAATTGAATTTCGAAATTCTTGATATCTCGTAAACTTGAGGAGGTGCGAGTTTGAATTTAGCAGAAGATGAAATTAATTCATTTGGAAAATTCCACTAGTCGCCAGAAAAAAAATTTTATTTAAATTTATTTAAATAGAAATTGAAAGTAAATTTTGTATTTAAAGTTTTCATTCAGATTTGATAGAAATTAATAAATAGAAAATCAACTAACTGATAATTCTTCAATTTCAATGTCATCATGGTTAGATACGGGTATAGTTTCAAGACAAGCGATAAAGAAAATCGTATTGAAACGTTTTCCATTAAGTGCAGTGGGAGTCAACCAATTTCCCCACTCATATAGAGCCCATAAATCCGGAAAGCAATTAAGAGTTTCACACAAATTGTAAAATTCAGTAGCATTTTTATGCACTTTTTTTTGCCATTCTTCTAAACTAGTTTGATTTACTATAATAGCATAACAATTGGTAAATAATAAATTTACATAATAAAAAATTAATTCAACATCTGTTATCTTACATGAATAACAATTTATCCAACCCGGACTAGCCGTTTTTTTTGCTGATTTACAAAGTAAAATTCCGCACTCTTCAAATGTTTCACGTGCCGCTGTTATCCTCAATGATATTTCTTTTGGTAATTGCTGAGAATCATTTGATTCCATTTCAAATATACAAGGTCGAGTTTTGTTAGTCTTCGGAAAGAGTGACGAGAATTCGCTGTCATCAAATCCATATTTTTTATATAAGTGTTTCCATTTCACATCTAGGTCTGCAACGTCCACTGTTCCACCAGGAAAGACATAATTACCAGGTAGAAATGAAGAGTTTTTTTGGCGTTTTACAGATAAAAGCTTATAATCATACTACAAATAAACAATAAAAGTAAAAATAAAAATTACTAATATGAAATTAATCTACTGATAGTAAATTTATTGTATTAAAAAGTTTATAAATAATTATTATTATAATTAAAATTTGTTCTATTAAAGTCAGTTGAAATGAATTTAGGAGAATTTATTTGAAACTTACACTCGTTGGAATAGATTTTCCTATCGAATTATGTTTCAAATTAGCTGCTAGAATAACACTTGCTGAATTTTTCCAACGTAACATCATTTATTTATGTATCAAGCAAATGTTTACCATTTAGTAATTTTAATGTTTTTCATTTTTTGATTTACCAGTCGCTGCAAGCATCAACTCATATAACTGATAAACTTGTTCATCTCGCAATTCATCTAAAGTCTTAGTCTGAAGATTTTTACCCAAAGGTTTCGCAGAAATTGGTCCTTTTAAGCCTAACTGTTGTGCTAAAGATATTGCATAATCCTGAAATGTTAATAATATACTTATATATATATACTAAAACAATTCATTGTATTTAATGAAATTAAAATAATAGAAAAATTTGACGTATTAAGTTGCATTTATTAATCAAAGCTAATAATAGGTAATATATTATATAATATACTTACTGTCCACTCATTCATAAAAATATTAGCTTCTATCTCATTACAATTTTTATGTCTACGAAATTCATCACGAACATAATTATTCCCTAGAGATTGAATTTCAGTTGGCATTCCACGATGAAGTCTTAGAATAGTTTTATACAGAATTCTAACCCGATTTAAATGCGATGTAGTTGATGTCATAACTTGATATTTAATCACAATTTAACTCCATATCAACTAGTGTAACATTTAATTTTGTCGATCTAAATTTAGATAATTATTATGATTGCATTTCTTTACATAACATGATAAGTTGTTTAGTGTCATCAACTAGGAATCTGGATTCTACCCATTTCATAAAACTAATTGTATGTACAAAGTAACATAAATGTTATGGATTTACAGTTATAATAAAAGATGATAACAGATAATTATTACATGATAATGATTATAGTAATTTTCTTTCAATTATTCTGTTATTTTTATTATTTTATTTAACACTTTTTTTTAACTTCCCGGCAAATGAAAAGGAACAAAATGTAACATGAAAGTTAGATTGAAGGATATTAGCAAACATAGAAGCATTAACTGCAAATTTTCACGGCCCGCTATGATTTAATACAAAAATCGTCCATACGTAGCGCTATAACCTCCTTTAAAAAAAATAAACAATACCATCATCTGATAATTATTGTATATGGGATGTCACTTTTCGTTTATTCCAAACGAAATAATCTTAGAATTCAATTTAAATTTCAATAAAGATGAGTTGTTTATTGGGTGTTTTTAGTATATAATTTGGAATATTCAATATGTATTTAATTTTAAAAGAGTTATTTTCTAACTTCAAGTATTTTAAATAATTACTGGTAAAAAATACTAAAAAGGACCTTACATAAAAAAATTTTAAATAATTAGCATTGGATCAAAATGACAGTTGAATTGAAATCATTGAAAATATTTATACACACTTCTAAGAATAAGAAGTGGGGATGGTGTAGAATTTAGGACGTGTAGAATACAGAGAGAATTTATTGTATTTTACTTTTCACCACGAATTCTTGAATAGGGTGTTCTGACATTAATAAAAAAATAAGATCTTCCATTACGGAGAGATAAAAAATACAAATCGTCTACATGACTTGAAACCACTTAATGTAATGAAAAGAAAACGGTATTGGTTAGTGTATTACATTATACACAACCTTTACTTTTTTGAATGTGGGTTGATACATTTTGAATAATTGTGTGATACTTTGTATCCTGTATCACATAACGCAAAAATCACTGTTAAAAAAAAACATCAACAAACTTGAAGTGTATAAGATATACTCATATTAGTTCATCGGCTTCTATCAGTCATTCATTCCAGTTCGAGTCTGGTAGTCATACGTAGTTTTGGGGTCAGATAAATTACATTTACGTAAAATTTTCAAAAAATATTTAGCAAATAATTTTCATTTTTCGTAAAATTGTGTTATTATGGAATCCTTAAAAGAAAAAGTTGATGATGTTCCTATGGATGATGATTTAGTTACATCAGAAGAAGTAAATCTGAAAAAGGTTGAAGGGCCTATGGATGATAATCTAGTTACCTCAAAAGAAGTAAATGTGAAAAAGATTAATGATGATCCTATGGACGATGATCTAGTTACATCAGAAGAAGTAAATCTGAAAAAGGTTGATGATGGGCCTATGGATGATAATCCAGTTACCTCAAAAGAAGTAAGTCTAGAAACAAATGATGATTTGCTTATCATTGATGATCAAGTTACTTCAGAGAAAGTAAATCTTGATATAGTGATTCATAATATAACAGCTACTTTTCGAGTTGGGAATATTATTGACTTTAAAAAAGTGCCTCCTAAATATATAGCTGTCTCAAACTGTCGAGTGAGTAAATTCATTAACTTATTAACAAGTAAAAAATAAATATCATGTTTTATTAACTAAAAATTACATCGTCGTTCATTATAGAAAATTCAATTAAAGATAGATGATTGTACTATCGTCATTCAGCATTCTGGGAAATCTTTATGTATGGGAGCTTCGAGTGAAGACCAGGCATTAACAGCATCTAGAAAAAGTATTAATATGTTAAAATCCTGGGGGTTCGATGTTACTTTTAGTGAATTTAAAATTTCATGTTTCTTCTGTACATGCTTACTACCTTGGAGAATTCAGATAGAAGCAATGGTCACCAAATATTTCAATGATTTTACGTACGTCAATAAACAGATTTTATAATTTTTTTTTAATTACTTTTATTTTAAAACTGTGCATAATAATAAATGATTATTTATAAATTGTAAAAATTAATTAGGTATGAACCTGAACTTAACAATTACTGTACATTAACAATAAAAAAAGGGGAAGGATTTCTCGGAGTCTTCCCAACTGGATTTATTCGAGTGATAAGTAAGAAAAAATTTACAAATGAAAATCTCTGTTGAGAAAAATCAATGATCAAATAATGTAAAACTTTTAGGCCCCACTGTTGAAATGATTTTAAATAACTTAGAAAAAGCATTACCGATTCTTTCGGAGTTTCGTATTTGAGTTTGGAATGTTAAAAAAAATCGATTTAATTTATAAGGAGTATATTATTAAATAAAAAAAAATAAAATGTGAGAAAAAAATCTGATTTAGTAATGATATAATTTCTTTTTGAATTTATTAGCATGCCTTTGTTAATCGCGTGTTTTCATATATTGTAAATAGTTAAATTATACTTTGTGAAATCTATCATATCACGTATATAATTATGAACGAAAATATCAACAAATTCTAATCATTATAGTTAGTATTTCATTGAATTTTGCCGGTTATTTATTCTAGTTTAAGTCTGATAGTTTAGGGTAAGATAAACTATATTTACGTACAAATTTTCGAAAGTATTCTTCAAATAATTTTCATTTTTCGTAAAATTTTATTATGGAATCATTGAAAGAAAAAGTTGATGATGTGTCGATTAATGATGATCTAAGGGCTTCGGAAGAAGTAAACCTTGATATAATTGTTACTAGCTTAACAACTTCTTTTCGAGTTGGGAATATTATTGACTTTAAAAAAGTGCCTCCTAAATATATGGTTGTCTTATACTGTCAAGTAAGTAAATTCATTAACGTTCTGTCAACTAGCAACTAAATATCACGTTTTATTAAATAAAAATTACATCTTTGTTTATTTTAGACTGTTCAATTAAAGATAGATGATTGTAAGATCATCATTTGGCATTCTGGAAAATCTCAATGTGTGGGAGCCTCCAGTGAAGATCAGGCACTAACAGCAGCTAGAAAAAGTATTGATATATTAAAATCATGGGGGTTGGATGTTACTTTTAGTGAATTTAGAGTTATGAGTTTATTCTGTTCATGCTTGCTACCTTGGAGAATTCAAATAGAAGCAATGGTCACAAAATATTCCAATAATTTCACGTAAGTTGATTAAAGTTTATTCACACTTTTTTGATCATTGATTTTTTTATAATTTTTAACAAAATAGATGTTTTATTAGACGTAAATCCAATTATTGGATGTTAAATACGACCAGAGCGCGAAGATTTCTTGCAGTCTATCCCTCTGGATATGTTCGCATGTCAGGTGAGAAAAAAAAATCAGAAATTAAAATCTCGATGTTAAAAATTTAACCAAGGAGTTTGAAACTTTTTTTAGGCTTAAATATTGAAGGAATTTTAAGCATCGTAGAAGAAGCACTTCCGTTTTTTTCGGAGTTTCGTATAGAATGTTAAATTACGAATCAATTCAATTTACAAGGATGATATTAGCTAAAAATAACTAAATAATTCATTATAATCCATGTTTTTTGTAAAATTCATTGATAATAATGATTATTTATTAGATGTATCAATTATTTTTTATTGAACGTATTTATTATCTGTTAAATATAAAAAAATACCTGATTTACTGTTCATACAAATATAATGTGCATGTTATATATTATATTTGTTATTTCTATAGTTTAATGTAAATAAACTATTTTGTATACAATATTTTGAAATTTGAATTAATAAAAAAAACGTATAATGAAGCTTAAAAAGTTATGTATTCTGATGTTTTTTATAATTTACTTTAGATTAATAATCTTCGAAATCGTACAATTCTATTTTATGTTCTTCTATAACTCACCTATAAAAAATCTTACTCTATAAATTAATGATCACTTAACATTAAGACAAAACATCAGTTGAACATCGTTCTAAAACCTCCAAAGCAAAATCAATGTCTTCTTCATTTAGAGTACTTGAAATACACAGTCGTAGACTCGGGCGTGGCAAATTTCTTTCAGTGTCTAAGTAAGCAGGAGGAATTACTGCTAAATTATTTTCTATACATTTGTTAGAGATTTCTAATAATAATTCTTGTTCTTTGTGACGGTCATATTGCTTTTTTAGGTATAAATGTTTCACAGGCGATTCTGGCATAGCAGAAAGCTCAAAATATTGTAACTTATTTAGTCTAGTTTGAAAAGATAAACAGTTTTTCCTTAATTTATCAAAAATACTTGGATCTTCCTCGATGATATCTAGAGATGTAATCGCAGCAGCAGTTAAAAGTGGAGGAAGTGATGCAGAGAAGCAATAACCGAGTCCAGAAAGCCGTTGGTGTTCAATTATGAATGATGAACCGACGCAGAAGCCACCAATTGAGCTTATTGCCCATTCAAGAGATCCTGAAAATAATTTTTAGCCATTAAACTTAAATATAAATATAACTAAATTTAATCAAGTATATTTACCCATTATTAGATCGACTTCATGTCTAGGAACGCCAAAGTGTTCAGTTACTCCTTTTCCATTTTTTCCAAGGGTTCCAAAAGATATAGACTCATCCATGAAAATTCTCAATTTGTACTTTCTACACAGCTTTATCAGATCAGGAAGTGGGCAAACTTGTCCAGTGTTAATATAAATGCCTTCAATAATTAAAAATCGTCGAATTTTGGCAGCTCTTTTTGAATTTTTCTTATCTTTATCATTTTGTTCTATCAACAATCTTTCTAAATCATCAACATCATTGTGTTTAAAGTAATAAACAGTTGATCTTGAAGCATTAATGCCTTGTTGAATTGAAAAATTAATTCTTTCATCAGCAAAAATAATATCTCTCTTTTTACTATAAGCTGGAATTGATGAGGCGATGGTGCTGAAACCGTAAGAGTAGACAATAGCTTCTTCAGCTTCCATAAATTTAGCGAGCCTATCTTCAAGCACTAAATGGACATCGACAGTACCATAGAAGCCTCTTGGACCACAAGAACCTACTCCGTATTTTCTAACGGTGTTTATAGCACGTTCTTCAATCTTTTTATTTTCTAGTAAACCTAGATAATTGTGAGTTCCCAAGTTCAAACAGTCTTTACCATCAACCGTGAGTCTTTTTCCTACTGGAGATGAAACTAAACGTGATTTTAATGATGGATGATCATCTTCTGTGTCAAAAATTAAAGACTCTGGGTGCCAACTTGCAAGTTTTTTCTCAATTTCTTCATCAGTAGGCTTTTTTATTGATCGACTAAAGCGTTTTTTTACTAATAGCCAAATAAGCCATAATATAAAGAAGATTCCAATGAAAGTTTGATAATGAGTAATTATTCCAAATCCACTGTCAATTAATTCTAATAAAATAAATTTAGAACTCATCATTAATGTCCTATAGTTTTTTCGTAACTTTTTTTACCTAGAAAATTAAAATACAAATTAAAAAAATTGGAGTCAAGATTTACAGTCATAAATTTACAAATATTCCATGAATATTAATAATTATTACTACTAACACTCAATGAGCTTAAAAATGGTTTGTAAACAATGGAATAATTGAGTATAAAAACTTTAAATAAAAAAATAAAAATTCTAACCTTTGAGAAAAGAAAGTTTGCTTTGTGTCAATAAAAAATATTATAAAAGTGTCGCCATCCGACTGTCATCAATTTTTTGGATCCAAAAACATTTAATTACAATAAAGATATTAAAAGAACGACAATATACATAAATATGATTATAACAAATATTTATTATTTATTAGGACAACCTTAAACCATCTACATAATCAAGAGATACGGTAGTGTCTCGTGCGCCAAACATAAATTGCCGCCATTTAGCCCTTACGTCACGACGAGGCACTACTGTGTCTCTATACAAATTATAAGATGATTTTTGCAGGTTATGATTTTTAAATGTACAATTTTTTTCTTATTATAACATAAACATGGGCTGAAATTAAGAATTTTCTCGGAAAGCGATCGTTGACTTTCGATTAAGCATACTATGAAGTATTATCATTGCTTTATTCATAATATACGAAATTGAAAAAATTTTGTTGCGCAAAAATTGAGTAAAATGAGTTTATTCATGGAGCAATCATACTTTTTTTTTTATCAAGTTGGTGATCAGAGTTTTTAATTGCTATGAAGTTCTCTCACTAACAGATTATAAAGTTGGTAACAAGTTAATTTTGCTCGAGCACAAATATACAAATAATTAAAATATTCTCTGAACAGATTTATTTTTTTTTAATATTCCTTTTCAGTTGATATGTACAAAAAATGGTGAAATCTCATCAAAAACAGCCTCCTCCTTCTGGGCTGTACAAAAATGTGCGCCAAACATAAATAACGACAATGATGAAATTACAAAAAGTCCTAGAATCATTAAACGCCAATTATTTAAATCTACAAATCAACAATATTTAAAATGAATCATTTTCTTCGGTTTTTTTTTTGAAAAAAAATTTAGTACGTTTAATGACACAATAAACATAACAACTAAAAACTTGGCGTTATTTATTAAGTGGCTTAAATATATTCAATATTTTCACAATTTCATGCTTTTATAAAATCTTAACAGTCACGCCATGATCCAGTTGGTAATTTTTTTCGAATATTTAAATTACACGCGAAGAGTTTGGAGCTTTGATTTTTCGAATGTAGATTTCGCAGGTGGCTTGTGTTTACTGCAAGATTCAAAATTATATTTCTACTTGTATTGATTAGTTATAATATGGCATATACAATTATAAATTTAAGATTAATATAATAAAAAATTTTTATTTTTTTATTTTGAAAGAAACATTCTGATAGTAATGATATAAATTAGTAATAAATTAAATTCAAGTTGACGTAGATGGCAGCATAATAAACATGCGCATACTCAATTGCGTCATAAGAGAAATTTTTTATACTTTTAGGAATACTTCCGGCATCCGGCAGACGCCCTGATGCATGTCGTGAGTAACAGTGACAGCCAAAGGTGTTTAAAAGAGTGCTTATCAGTGGTTATTGTTGCCTAAATTTGACTTATATCATTTTATACATTTTTAAGCATCTGACAATACTTTTTTATCTGAGATCTTTCCTACAAATTATTCTACTCTCAAAAAAGGTAAGCACATTCAAATCTTATCTGAGATTGTCTCGAGAATAAATGATAAATCATTGTAACATTCACTATAAAACACTCGAAATATTCTATTATTTTTATACAATTTTATTATTTTAATAGCTCAAAATGATTTTATAAACATAATAGAAGTAAATTTTCTTGTGTAATAATAAGTAAATAACAATTTTATTTCAGATTACGGTAAGTTAATGCATCAAAAATACATGTAATGGTTATGTTTCCGTGCCTCCTACTGAGTTCTTAGTATGAGTCATGCTTACAATAGGCATTTGTCAGAGATAATTTCATTGTTAAATCGAATAATTAATTTCGTTGTTTTTATTGTGAATAAAAATAATAGTAATGAAGATGAAAGATATTTTTTAACCAAATAATTTGAATAATTCATTAAATAAATCATTTTCATCAAAATTTATTACTATTAATTTTTTCAAAGAGATAATTGTTCATGTCTATTGAATTAAAAATTAAGCAAACTGGTTCCCATTGTTGTTATGTATGGGATAATCACGGTGAGATTATTCCGAGGTGTTTCATAATGATTATTGTTTTAGTCGGGCTTCAGTGGTAATACTACTAGGTCAGTTAGAAGAGCAAGCAAAATTTTCTTTTATTTATTATAAAAAATTATTACATTTATTTAGTTATTATAAAGTAAATATTTCTATGCTTTATATTTATTTATTTGGTAGTACACATTTATCTCTATTATTTATTAATTAAAATATTTTTATTAATTATTTAGAAAGAAATTAACCAAAAAGTATTATAGATAAGATAAAATGAATCAGTAATACATTTAACTAACATAGATTCTGACCAATTACTCACTTTTTAACGGTAAAATATAACTAATTAAGATGAGAACAGTCTTATTTATTTTATTAACACTTGAATTAATTTTTAGAACGTAATTTTAATTAAGAACATCTTTATTTTTTCTTTGACCATTAAAAAAAATTTCTGTTTTAATTTTTATCTTGTTTTTTTTTAATTAGTAGAGTCCACTTTTAAGTAAATTTTATATACAATCTAAATAAAGTAAATTTTATTATTATCTTGCATGAATGTTTTATTTATCATATTTTTATCTAGTCTATATCTTAAATATTTATTTCATGTATTTCTAGAAAACCGTTAATTCAATTGATTGTACATATTTTTTTCAGATAAAAATAAATATAGAAAATAGTTGATAAAATATAAAATTCGATGTGAAACTTTTTTTAAGATTTCTTTATTTCCACATTTTCTCTAGAGTAATGGAATGATTTAATAATTTATTACCAAGTCTGATCATATGCGTATATCATCTACTAGACATAAGAAGTAAATATAAGGATATTTTACCCGGAAATAAATAATTTCGAATTTTGTCCACACGTGTTTCTGATGGCAGCACTGATGTTAGATGCTGTTGGAAACTTTCCCTAGTATCCTGCGACGCAGACTGAATGACCCGGACACTTCATCCCCGAGTGCCAAAACGAGTAATAACCCCCAAAATTCAGTCAAGATCTTCCATTTCCTTTCAAGAGCTTCCATTACTTTTAATTATTTCTATTATTTATTATTATCTTGGCTATTATTCTCATCTACCGATAATTTTTTATTACCATTCATTTTGCATCCCTTGCTTTGACCTATAACTTACGCTCCACACCCAATCGTTAAAAGGGGAAGTCAAGTGAATAAGAATCTTGCAAGTGTGTGAAACAAAAAAAAATATTACAAAATGTTTTTTAAAATATTTACAAATTTGACTAAATTTTTTTAATTATCATTATGTGATGATACTTTAACACTTGGTACATACATTGAATAAAATATTTATCAATAAATAAATAAAGACTTTAAAGAAAGACTAAATATAAATAAATTTCATAGATGAAAATATTGTTAATTTTGTTGATTAATAATTAATTATTTACAAGTAATTAATAGACATGTTGAGAGTTTAATTGTTAAAATTTATTGTTGATAAAATATAGTTCGATATTAATTAAGTGATTTAATGATTCAATAGTTGATAAAAGATTTTAGAGAAAATTTTTAAAAGTTGAAGAAAAATTTTTTCATCATATCGTTAATTATTTAAAAAAAAATAAACTGTAAGAAAAATAAAAATGTTTTCGTGTTGTACATGTAAAACTTCCAAAAAGGAAAAAAAAGATGAAGATGACAGTAGTGAAGAAAGTAATGATAAAGATGTAGACTCGTCTAATGATGTAGAGCCAATTAAAACACAAATACAGTCCCCTTTAAAGAATGTGAAAGCTGATGATACGAGTATAAAGACTCCAATCCCTGAGGAATCATCAGTAGTTGATAGAAGTTTGACAAGTAGTGAAGTTGATTTGGTGGATATAAGTCACAAAAAAATGACTATTAATGAAGAGAAAACTGATACTGACGTGAGAGAAAATGATGAGGACAGTCTTAGTGTTGAACGAGTAGAAATCGCGATGCCTGAAAGGATCAATGAAACAATTGAAGAGGAACATATTTATGCTGAAGTGAAAAAGAGACAAGTGCCGACAATAAATGAACCTGATAATGATGTTGAAAATTCCAGTGTTAAATCACAAGAAGCATCTGCTATGAATAATAATCAAAAAATTAGTGAAGATAAACATAATTATGCAGTAGGAAAAATAGAAATAACTATTACAGAAGATACTGAAGATAATCAGGATAAAGATGATGAAGATATAATTGGCAAAGATCAGACAGAAGCTAAAGACGAGATGAAAATCGATTCTCAGCAAGAAGGATTAGTGAAAAATGAAGATAGTAATGAAGAAAATTTGGAAAATAGCAAAACTAATGATTTTTCATCAAAAGAAATTATTACAATAGAAGAAAATAATGAAAATTCTTTACTAATGGAGAAAGGTAAAAAAGAAGTAGTAGTTGATAAAGAAATTAAGAACGATTATGATAATGAAAATCAAGAAAAAAATGAAATTCCAGAAATAAGTGAAAAAGTTGAAATTGAATTATCTAAGTTAAGTAAGAAAGAAAATAATGAATTTGAAGAAAATATTTATGAAGTAATAAGAGAGGATGATAGCCATTTAAACGTAGCAGAAGAAAATAATATAAACGACACCTCAGTAGACATGACAGAAAAAAGTCAAGAGGATTGTCAAAGGAATTTAGAAATGTCTGAAACAGCAGAAAATGAAGAAAATGATGCAAAGAACGTTGACTCAAGCGAAGTGAAGTGTCACAATGAGCAAATGTACTTTGAAGGAAATAAAGATGAAGAAGTTGCTAAAATTACCAAAGAACTTCATCAAGAAAATGAGGAAAAAGAGGAAGAAAATGAAGATGAAGAGTCAAGCCCTACGATTTCAGCTAATACCATAGAAGATGCTAAGATTTCTGCCATTCCTTTTGAACCAGGAGTAATAGGTCCTCCGAAAATTGGGCTCTTTGAAGCTCCAGCTTATATTGAACGAACAATTGTTGATAATCTTGATGATGATGGTGATGATTCTGTTTTTGAACGATCTTCTGGTACAGATGATCCACCGAGTACTGATGTCAATCATGAAATTAGCAAAGATAATAAACAAGATTTTGAATTAAATATTAATCAAAATAAGATTCAGGATGTTAATAGAGAGAATGACATTCTGGAGATAGTGCAAAATATGAGTCAACATATTCAGAATATTCCAGAGCAACCTATATATGAGAATATTAGTCAATTAATAAATATTAAAAAGTTCGAAGAAAGTGAGTGTGATTCTATGATACCTGAAAGACGAGAAAAGCCATTACCACGATGGCTCTCTGAAGAAGATGATAAAGATTATCTTGAAGGTGGTAGTGGCATGCAAGAGCCGCCAGCTACACCAGTAGCCAAAGATGAATTGGCTTTGAGAAGACACCGATTTTTCTCAGACTTGCTTCATGTTGCCAAGAACTCTACTGAACATAGAGTGAGATTTGACCCTCTCGGACCTATGATTCATCCTGGTTAGGAATTAATTGTTCATTCAAGTTAAATTAATGAATAGCTGCATGTAACATTTCGTTATAAATAATTGAGTTTAGTTATTTAATTATTCAAACAAATTTAAGTTTTTTAAGTGAAAAGAATCGTAAAACAGTGTGACGTGATTAAGATGTAGAATATATAAATATGTATTATATCAATATTTTTTGTTTATTCAGTTTTCAGTTCTCTTACTCACTATTACGCCTACACTAATTTAGCTTGTGATCATCAACAATTTTGCGGTTTTCTAATTATAAACTCATGGATATTCCTCGAGATCTAGCCTAACTATTTATAATGATGCTCGAGGACAAGTGTAGATCACGTTTTCATCTTTACTTTTTACTTATTTTCTTAATTTTACGGCTGGACCACCTCGAGGCCTTGTGCTAATCTTTAGCAACACTTCATCTTCAGACTAAAGTCACAATAGAAGTCCAATTAAGCACTCTTTGAATTTTTCTATTTTATTTTAAGAATAACAATTATACGAAATTTATTTAAAGCATCAGTAATATTATATTTTAAGACAATTCTTGATCAATTTAAACTAATTCATGTACGTTTAAATTAGTACAAATGTATGTAGAAAATTATACTAACCATTTAAATTATATTTGTTCAATAATTAATGTATCTAAATTGCATCATTCTTATATATAATAATGTTACATGCACTTATCTTTAAATAATCTTTTCGCAATTTTATGCTTTCAGGTTGTGACAACGACCGAGAAGAGCAACTGGAACAACTGGTGACTCGTTTAGAAAACGTAACAAAAAGACTTGAGAGTGTTCCAACGAAATTATTTGCAGAAACTCAAGAGGTTGCGGTTCAGACTTTGATTTCATCGTCAAAGAAAAGTGAAGAAGAGATTCAAAACGTAATAATAAATCCAGAAATTCAACAAAGCTCACCCAAAAAAGTATCATTTGAAAACGAATCAAAAACTGGTTTAGGAGAATCCATCATGTCAGTAGCAGGGTATGAAGATTTAATTGCTGGACCAGTTGCTGAGTATTTACAACTCAGTTTAAAAATTGGCGGAGATGTTGCTGCTCATAGTGAACTTGTGGAAAAAGCATTCCAGTAAATATTTAATTGATTTATTCATTTTTAAAATTATTATTTTCAATAAATAACAATGAATATTTGTTATTGATGTATTTTTTTTTTTAATAGAATCCAAAGAGAATTCATAAAAACAGCAACAAGTCGTCCATCTCCATCAAATCAATCAGAACAAGTCGCACTTCTTGGTCCTACTTCATCACAAATTCAACTGATCCAAGAGTTTCGAGAAAAAAATCGAGGCTCAACATTTTTCAACCACTTATCAGCTATCAGTGAAAGTATTCCCGCCTTAGGATGGGTTGCCGTCTCACCCACCCCTGCACCTTATGTCAAAGAAATGAGTGATGCTGGACAATTTTATACCAATCGAGTTCTCAAGGACTGGAAAGAAAAGTAAGAAAATAAAAGAATTTTCAATCTGTTGAAGGATATTTTTTTCTTTAATTTATTTTATCAATTCTCTGTCATTTATAATGAAATCGTTCTTTCAAGTCTATATTCATGAGTGTTTTTTCAAGGGATAAAACACATGTTGAGTGGTGCAAAGCTTGGGTTCAAACATTAGCAGAGCTTCAGAAGTACGTTCGTCAGCATCATACAACAGGCTTAGTCTGGGCAAAGGGCGGTTCTGCTCCAATTCCACCTCCACCAGGTGGAATGCCACCACCTCCTCCTTGTATGCCTGTTGGAGATGTCTCTGGACCTATTGGCGATGACAGAAGTGCACTTTTTGCTCAAATCAATCAAGGAGAAAATATTACAAAATGTAAGAATATTATTTAATTTAAAATTATCGAATAATCAATATTTTAATTGAAAAAATCTAATTATTGGATCTTTTTAGCTCTAAAAAAAGTTACATCTGATATGCAAACTCATAAAAATCCATCGTTGAGAACTGGACCGGCACCATTCAAAGCTCCAGTGGTCAGCAATTCAAATTCGCCAATGAAAACAGTCGCACCCGCTAGTGCACCTATTGATAAGCCTCCTGTCTTTACTCGCGATGGGAAAAAATGGCTGGTGGTAAGAATAATGTTGAAATTAAACTACCTCAGACATTTTTAATTTAAGCTACTTCAAAGGAGCTTTAAATCTTTTTTCTTATTTTTAGGAGTATCATAAAGGCAATAAAGATTTACTAGTTGAAAATGCAGAGATGAACAATGTCGTCTACATGTACCGTTGTCAAGACTGCACTCTCGTTATAAAAGGAAAAGTCAACTCAGTTGTCATGGACTCTTGTCGTAAGTCATCGATAGTTTTTGATTCATTGGTTTCCAGCATCGAGTTTGTTAATTGCCAGAGTGTGCAGATGCAGGTAAGTCATTATAAAAAAATTCTATTATTTAATTTATTTTTTATTTTATCTCACTCATTAACGTTTTCCAATATTTATTGATATCAATTTAATCTAAATATATATAATTTTTTTTATTCATTTACAACAATTCCTCTAGCTCAGAAACATTCATTTACTCATGATTTTCTAATTTGTTTGTTGTAAGGATGATTGAAAAATTGTTTAAAAATCGAAACGAGTGGATAAAATTTTCAAAAATTTTTTATTCTTACAAAAATAATTTATGAAATATAAACTGATTAATTTTTGAGAGTCCTGTGATTACAAGAATTGACAGAGACAAGTCTTTTATGACATCCTGCAAATGTTGAGATCTCTAACATGCTCCATTTTTGAGTCTGCTGTATAATTTCCTCACAACTCCGAAACTCCTGAAAGTTGTACAAATTATTTGATCAGAATCTCCCCTGAACTTAACACACTTATCATTCATAATTTCATTATCTCTCGGAACGAAATTCCTGTTGATTAATTGAGTTAAACCCCATATTAACGTACTTGTCTCGACAACCGGAGGTTTAACTAACACTTGCATCTCTTTCTGTTGACAGAAAACTATTTGATTTTCTTGACCCAACGTAGATACCCAACTATTTCTCTCTATATCTGAATCTTTTATTAGTGTATTTTTCTCTTGCAAACACACTTCTTTACATTCAGCAGATGCTTGATTGAATTTTTTACAAAGCCCAATACAATTTTTACTTGAAAAATTGTTCTCATAGCTTTGTACATTGAAATTACTTTTGATACAAGATAACATATTTTCTGTGTCACCCAACTGTAAAGATTCTTTGATAGAAAAGTTTTTATGGGAAGTGTTAGTTGTATTTTTATCTTTCGAGTGTTCTATTCGTGATTTTAAAATAGGAATATTTGATTTCCATGATTTATTAATTGACTCTCGTGACCTAGATTTCAAATCAAGATCCAATTTGCTACTCATGGTTGATTTTCTCTTACATAAACCCAGTTTACTGTTTTCGGAATTTTTCTCCGTAGTTCTATCAGCTAAACTATGATTTCTTTGATGTTTTTTATTTATTAAATTGTTAAACATACTTTTTGAAGTTGGCTCAAATTTCCTAGGGGTGATATAAGATTTACTTCGTCCTTCAAGACCCTTTTTATTTTTTAAATCTTGTCCAAAATCATGTAAAAGATTTAAATTACTTTTTGCTTTGAGTGATAATTTATTTATTTTTAAATCTTTCAAAGTAGTTTTTGCATCATTTTGTGGAGCAATTTTTGATTTATGTAAATTATCGTTACGTTTATGTTCTCCTGTTAGTTTTTGCTTTGATCCTTTTATGTCTTTCTTCAAAAAATTATTCGATTTAACGTTTAAATTTGTTGGAAAACGATTTAACCTTTCATCTAATAACTTCGTAGGTTCTCGAGAGGTAGAAATATTTGAAGATTTTTCAGTTTTAACTGTTGCTCTTTCACATCTTCCTTTCTCTAACTTTGATCGTTTTTTTGGTGATTTCAATTTATTTTGGGAAAGCTCCTTTTCAAAGGAATACTGATCACAGTCAAAGTTATTATGATATATATTTATATCAAGATTTTTATCATTATTTCCAACACGAATATTATTAATAGTCATTACTGAACTCTGAGGAGTTTCATAGAAAGCTGAATCTTTGCTAGTAATAGTGATTCTTTCTTCATCATCTTCTTTTTTTTTATTTTTCTGACTCTTTTGTTCCTCATTTCTGTTATATCCATATATTATTTTATTTTCTTTATTATGTGTGTTTAATTCAATAAGGTCTGTGATTTTCTCATTATTAGAAATGTCAGAAAAAGATCCCTTGCCAGTTAAATATAGACTACTACTTTCTGACAAAGTATTCAATAAAGAATTCTTTTCACATTCACTCTTCGAATGTTCTTGCATTTCTAATCCTACATCAAATTCGATTTCTGATAAATTTTCACAATTATTTTTAATTAATAATTTATTTAACATTATTTCTGAATTTTCTGCATCACTTTTTTCATCAAAAATCATTTTCTCCTTCAATTCAACTGAACTTTTTCTTGGTAAAGCATATATTGAATCGAAATTATTGTCAGAATTGATATCTTTGAAAGTTTTTCTTATATCATCTATTTTATTTATTTCATATTGATCATGGGAGATTTGATGTTTGCTGGAAATATTGATTGAATTCAATTCTATTAAACTTTTATCTTCAAAATTATTCTCTAATGTTTTTTTAATGTTTTCTTTGATAAAAGTTTTGCCAGAAATGAAATAATTCTTTCCTGTTATTCCAATACAGTTTTCTGTGATAGGATTTTCTTTCATATTTTTTACTTTTACAATTTTTGTATCCAAGCTCTTAATATTCTCAAAAACTTTAATATCATCAGTGATTTGTAGATGACTTTCTTCAATATCAAGATATTGTTTATTTTTATGGTGATGATCTTTTATAGACAAATCATGATTTTTATTTTTCTTTGCTTCGTCATCATTTAGATCTATCAAGTTATTTCTACAAGCATCAAATTTTTCTAGGTTCATAAAAATATCTTCTAGATTCTTGATAGAATCTATCTGATTTTGATCAATTTGAACTTCATCTGTATAATGATCTGGAACTGTTTTGAAACATCTAGAAACTTCTTTATTCATCAATGAATCTGAATCAAAGATATCAATCAATTGTTCAATATCTATCTTTTTATTCTCTACTAATTTCTGACTATTTTCCATTGTTTTTACATCTAAATCATTTACTATTTGATCTTGATGATAAAAATTAATGTTATTGGTATTAACAACAATATTTGGCCTATCACGATTATCAGTTCCATCTGTTTCTTCAATATGATCACTTTCAGAAATAATATCCGACAAATTCGATTGATATAAGCTTTTGGAATTGATGAAAAACTTATAAGATTCATTAAATTTACTTTCCTCTTCTGAATATTTATCTTCTTGAAGTTCTATTAACGGTTCATCAATTCTCATTAAATTTTCATTAGATTTTATTGAATTTCCTGTATGAACTTTCATCAGATGTCGTTCCAACATCAAGGAATTACATTCGATATCTCTACTAGCTTTATCAAAAGCAATTATATCATCTTCTGTACAGGTTTCAGTAATTTCTTGTTTTTCAGTCTGATTACTTTTACAAGAGTCTGAATCATCCTCAATGGAGGAGCCTCCATAGTTTTCTTCAGTTTTACTGGGTCTTGTTTTAAAAAACAAACCATTCAGTTGATGGATAGGATTGGTCATTTGATAGTATTTTTTCTCATAATTTATGTTCGATTTGTTATCAGTTTCACTTTCGCTGATCATTGAAAAGTCACTCAATTCCTGAATGAAAGTTTGTGCTAAAAGTTTTCTAGCCTTTTTGTGTTCATTCAGTTCTGTTAAATTGAATTCTTGTTCGTTTTCGTACATCTGTAGTACACAATAAAGATTTTCTAAACGTTTTTTTACATCCTCGAGACTTTTCATTATTGCTTTTTCTCGTTTTGGTTTTGTAGACTTGAATGTCGATTCAATTGTTGGCAGGTTATTTAATGATGGTGGATTAAAAATAATTTCTGGTTGAAAAAATACTTTAGAATTTTTAAGAGATTGTTTTTCCAACTCTGGAACTACACTTTCTGAAGCAGAAAATACTGCTGAATTTTCTTTAACTATTTCTAAAGTCCCATTCAACTTTGCTGATGAATTTAAATTATTTGACATGTTTTTATCCTTTTTAGAATAATTTTGTTCTTCGTTCTCTGGTTTTTTAATGTCTTTTTTCTCATCTTTCTGCTCTTCTTCTTTTACTACTACTATTCTAATGTTATCATTATTATTATGAATGAATTTTCCACTTTCTTTTATTTCACAGACATTTTTACTATTTTTCTGTGACTCGTGTACTCCTAATAATTTTTTATTTCTCCTTTCAATCTCCTCTTTGTTTTTATTATTCTCATTCAGAGCTTTTGTGTCCTCTTTTACATCGTCCAGAACATCAACTTTTTCGGGTCCATTCTTGTTATCATCAGTTTTATGAGAAAAGTTATTACTCATTATTTGCATTTCTTTCACACTTTTGTCGCCATCATCAAAATTAATGTTTCCGAAAGTTTTTGGTAAAGTTTTTAAATCTTCAAATGACCGTGAATCACAGTCTTTACATGGACATTCTCCAAATAAATTACATGATGATTTAATTTTTAAATAATTATTTGTAAATAATTTTTTCAACCATAAATTTTGATTACATTTACTGTTATCTGTAGCAGAAACTGATAATCGTATTTTATCTTTATTTATATCTTCAATCTCATAAATGTTTGTGATTTGCTGTAATGATGGCCACGTTCCATGTTGTAATTTGTATGATAATATATCGACTCGAAGCTCAAGATCTTGGATATCAAACGCTATTTTATTTATGATGGAATTATTTATTTTCTTTTCTCTCATTCTTCGAATTTTCCAATAAATTATTGAGTAGACAATGATGGAAATTGCAAACAAAAAAGCTCCCTATAAAATCATTATTGGTTATTTAATAAAGCTATTATAAATTAACTGCATTGATTTAACTTAACCTTCTGTAACAAATCTTCATTGTTACTAGATAGAAAATCAGCAACATCGGTATAAACTTCAGACCAAAAATATTTTCCTATTGCATAAGGACATTCTCTCCAATTAAATTCACACGTGAGACGAGTAGGTTGGAAGTTTCCTCCTGAAATTTTTTTGTTTATAAGACAATAAAGTTTATAATTTATATAATTTTAAAATCAATTGACTAATCTACCCGGTTGCCAGCGTAGCTTTGAGTCCCACGGACCCATATTTGATTGTATAAAATTGTTTTTATAATAAATAATAGAAATTTAAAAAAATTTAGTAAAAAAACAAACTAACAAATCGCCTCAAAACCTATCAATTACTCGGCTACTCATTTTGACAGAATAACTGACAGTCGTGAAATTTTTTGAATGAAGATTTGCTTGAAAAAAGAGAGAAACGAAAAAGAAAGAACGAGAAGTTAATTTTTTTTCATTCTATTTTTTTCTTTATTTTTGTTTTATGCATATCTGAATGTGAATGAATTATTCTTCATTATTTATTATTGATTTTTATTTGTAATATTATATTAGGAATTACGAAGTAAACTTTTATTTAATTTTTAGGTGCTTGGAAAAGTGCCAACAATTTCTATTGATAAGACTGATGGGTGTCAGATGTATCTGAGCCCTGAGTCTCTACAAGTCGAGCTCATCACGAGTAAATCTAGTGAAATGAACGTCATGGTGCCCAAAGGGAATGGAGATTATGTAAGTATAAATGGCCTATTCAGATCCAAATAGTTTTTCTGAGTATAAAGTTAAAAAAATATTTCATATAAAAAAAAACAAATAATGTGTTATTTTTATTTTAGACGGAATATCCAGTGCCAGAGCAGTTTAAAACATTGGTCAGCCCCAAAGGATTATCAACAACAGCCGTAGATTCACTCGGATAAATTGTTTAACAATTTATCTCAATTGATTAGGCATAAAAAATGGAGTAAAATTAAAATAAAATTACGAAAATTTGAATAACTCGAAGGCATAATTGTGCAATGAGTATTGTAAATTTTTTTCATTCACGTCAGTGGTAAAAACATAACTAATCAAAATTGATTGTAAAAAAAATCAAGAATAATGAGAAATTATTTGAAACAATAGAGTCTCTCTCTCTCAGTGAATGATTGTTTCTATTTATTATCGTATTAATTCTTAAGAAATTTCTTGTATAATCAAGCGTGATTATAAACATTCGATAAAATTAAATTAACTTTTAAAAGTTAATTAATCATCAATGAGCTAATTAATAAATTAATGCTGATACTTATATGTGTCTACATATAATTTGAATAAATTAATTTTGGCTTGAATAAAAGTTTATACGTCTACTTTTTGCTGGAACTTTTATACATTTTCACCGTTTCGTATTTTAATAGAACTTTTATTCAAGCCCACGGAATTGAAAAATGAAGCTTAAAAAATTTTAGTTGTTAATAAAAAATGATGATTGGAGTAATTAAAATTAAATTAATAGCAATGTGTGCAAGAAAGATGATGAGTATATGTACTACAATATATTCTGAAGTGATAAAAAAATGAAAACAATACAAAAATTGAAAATATTCTTTATTATTTGTAAAAGAATTTTTAATACTTTTAATATTTATATATTTTTTTCCAAAATCGTCATTATTTCGTATTTTAAAAGAAATTTTCAAAATTTTATTCTAGAAATATAGATAAAAAAAATATTTTCAATCACATTGTTTTTTTCAAAAAATGTTTGTATTATCATTACCAAAATTGTTTTATTTTTTTTTTACTTCAGAATAAGCAAGAAATTCACTAATTAAATGATGATCAATAACCAAAACTTATATGTCACCAATGGATTTGAATTTGTATGCGACAAGAGAAAAGGTGTACCGTGGCATATATTATGTGATTATGTGATGTTTAATTGATCAATTCAATGCTAATCATATAAATAATAAGACTAATAATTTATTATTAATTTTATTTTCATTTTTATAATTTTTTTTAAATTTATTATTATTCTAAATATTAACAATCTCGTAGCCTAAGTCGAGTGGCGTTTGCATCGATAATTCAATAACCCATGAGAGTTGTGCTTGTTAAAGAGGGAAAAATACGATTTTTCATTGAAGTTTAGTTTCATAACTCATCGCTCATTTTATGAGACCTTTTTTCTTGGTTGTTTTTTAAAAGTATTGTTTTTTCTTAATATTTATAAACGGGGATTAATGCTTGAAAATAAAATGGTAATGGATTTTTAAGACTCATATAATGTTCAATTGATTGAACGAGAGTTGTCTTTAGGTAAATTAAAAATATATTGTATTTATTTGTTACTGGCTATAATTAAATGTAATTAAAATTTTTTGATTATTACTTATTCACAAATAATAATATATACGAGTATATATGACGTGATCAATATAAAACTCAATAAATTCCAGAATATTGACTAAATAACGACTATATCATTAATTTCAAATCCTTTTCATTTTTATCTATATTATTTTATAAATATAACATTAAATATAGTTAATTTGTCTTCACAATTTTATTTCTTACTAGGGTTGGATATATTTTATAACTTTATTATCTTAACTTATCATTCTTATTTTCACAATATTTTATTAAATTATTAAATAGTTGTGACATACGTAGATATAATAACTTGATCACCTAAATTATATGACATATTTATTGGAAAGAAAAAAATCTGAAAATATACCAGTCTATAACAATTAGATTAAGACAAGAATAAGTTCTCTGAAAGATTATAACGGATATTGTAAGAGTTGAATATTTTTTTTTCAGATAATATTATTATTATACGAATTCTAAAATATTGAAAATAATTATTAGAGGTACTGGACAGCTTTTTATATCTAGAATTTTGAAATTATGATTTTCGATTAATTAAAAAATTCACAAAGATTTGCTAAGAAGTCGATTCCCGTTGGTACTTTGCGTTCTCTCCTAGGGAAATTTGTAATTAAATCTTACCTGAGTACTTGGAGGAAAACGTTTGATGAGGGTAAAATTTTAGGGTATTTAGTTGACATTAAAAAGTAGTCGATTACTTGTATTTTATGCTAAGTTAGAATACAGGTCATAATTTTATTGTAGATTACATCATTCATATACTGATAAAAATTCAATTATTTTTTATTGGAAATTATTCTTATTATTTAAATATTTTATTGGATTTCAAAAAAGTTTCGGCAGTAGAAGAAGATTTCATCTTCCAATTTCGCACTAAATTCTGCCACGTACTTATTGGCTGGAAAAGTGTCTGGAAGAGTAGCAGTTTCTATCACAGTTAGCTTAGAACTTGAATAAGTCCCCTGAAAATCAAATCAATTGTCATGTATATACTTATTGGTTGAATGATTTCATTATTACATATTGCGGTGAAAATATAGTGAAACACCTAGAACAGTTTTCAATTTTATTTTTTTATTAGCTTCCCACTTGTAAGTTATTGTAATGGATCCGATTTTGCTATTTTGGACCAATCCTATTCGATGGGCATTTACATCATTGAGTAATGAACACCTGATAAAGTTTACAAAAAACTATTAAAGAGGTTTGATAAATTCAACGAGTCTTCAGTTTTTGAAAGCATTATACAAAAAGTTTACAGGTTGGATAGATCTGTCACACTCAGCATCTTTTTTTTAATTGTCTATAAACTTTAATCTACATTATGGTCATTATATCCATCAATGACATGTTGACAAGGTAGACACCTTGAGGGCTGAGACATTGTAGAAATTACACTACTCTACGTTCTAAAACGTTTAAATTGTCAAGGTGTTTCACTATTTGTTTTGTCAACCCAGTAAATTATAAAATATTGAAAATAATTACTGGCTGTACTGGGCAGCTTTTTATTCCCAGAGATTCAAAAATACGATTTCCAATGATAGGCTCACTCACAGAAGCACAAGAAGGCATTGCGATATCAAATCCAGTTGGTACTTTATACTCACCCATTGTAGCTCCGATCATTTTGAAATGCGTCTGGAGCAGTAATCAATTTCTATAATTAGATGTAGAAATTATAATGAATAAAGTCAAATAGTCAAATCTTACCTGAGTGCCTGGTGGGAAAGTTTTAATGAGAGTAAAGTTCACGAAATATTCATTATCCCTGCCTTCGTCTAATAAATATATTTCTACATTACTGAAATATTCGGGATTGACCGTTGGGCAATCGACATCAAAAGAAACGATACTTAATTCAGCCTTTGAATAAAAAATTTTAATATTTATATTTTTTCATTAAAAGCTCTGTAACCAGAGTAACTCTAAGCAAATAATCGACTTAGTCATTTGATAAAATATTGAAAAAAATTTTTCATACCTGAATGTAGGGTAGTTGATAAATGCCAAGAGCAATGACAATTGAAGAAATCAGATTCATCGTTGAGACTTGTTAATAGTTGGATGAAAATTTCAATTATGAAGCAGGCTATAGAGAAGGGTAAGATTTATTATAGTTTTACTGCATTATTCACTAATTAAAATCATACTATAATAATTCTTTTGCGATACATTGTTGTACAATTTTATTGTAGATGTTCATAAGATATCAACCATATTCTTTATAATTATAGCTTATCGAGATAAATGCGTTGAAAACAATCCCAGTAGTATAATTACCAGTTACAATATTTATTAATTACAATTTATTATTTGAAGAACAAATATTATTAGAAAATACTAGAAAACATCACGATCGACTTTATTGCATTTAATTTAGTTTTTTTGTTAGAAAAATTACATTAAAAAAATCGACTTATGAATTCTTACAAAAGTAGATAAGTTAAGACTAGACAATGATTATCAATATTAGAAAAATTTTTCGTATGTTATCAAATATGAGACAAGACATTTTTCATATATTTTTATTAATAAATTAAAAGAAAATAAATTTACAATTATTTCAACTTAATTAATAATTAGGATACTTATCTACTTATATTTAACAATAATATTCAACTATGAATATTAAATTATTTCATAATAACCCTAGTAGAAATTTTCGAGTTAAAAACAATCATCATCACCACATAAGATATCGTTGGGTATAATTATCTTTGTATCAATGTGTTTTTATAACTATGTTTCCGGATTTGTTCACACATTTTTTTATTGATGTTTTCAGTGATAATGATTCCTATACATTTATTTAACTTATATTTCCAAGAAGCATTATCGCTGTATATTCACATCCAGAAAATCTAGGCGAAGCATTGACTCGATTTCATTTCTAGTAGGGAATCATCAATGTTAGTGTGACAATGATGATAAATTGAACACGTATACATTTTTTCTATTAATATAAAAACCAGTCTCATTTATAATTTTTCATGTATTGCACAATTGAGCGAATGTCTATAAGTAAACAGGCCATACACTTTTATCATTTGATTAATTCATCATGAATTGATTGAATTACTATCTAAAATTATCGTGAATGTAGTGGGCAATCACGTTCATCACTTCCATCAGAGCACTCTAAAAATCCATTACACACCCTCGATCTTGGAAGACATTCACCCAAAGGACATCTGTGACCTTTGCAAATGGGAATCGATGGCAAGACGTCTAGTTCTCGCATGATTCGTTCAATCCACGGTAGATAGTGATAAACTTTAGTGTAAACACCTGGTCTACCTGGCCTAGCACATCCGTAGCCATTAGAAGTAATTCCATGTAAGGTGTACTTATCATCAGGACCTCTACAAACAAGAGGACCTCCGCTGTCACCCATGCAAGCATCTCTTCCGCCGTCTTTTAAACCAGCACACAACATTCCTGATGTTATCCGATAAAGTGGTAGAAATAGTGTCTTTCTTCTGCATTCCTCGGTTGAAATAAGGGGTAATTCAACTTCCTGAAGTGTATCCGCTACAGGTGTTTCATGAAAGATTTAAAATTATTACTAATCATTTGGGACTGGTTATCAATGCAATTTTCGAATTCTTGAGTTAAAAATAAATTCAAAAAATTTTTATTGAATAGAATGTCTACAAATAAATTTACTTACGAAAAATACGGCCAACTTCAAACAGTTGTCCCCATCCAGTAACTGTACAAATGGTTCCACTCTTTGGTTCATTATTAGGCAGACAAATGGGTCTTACGTAATCACTGAATATTACGGGTTTTTCTAATCTCAATAGTGCTACGTCATTTATAAATCCATTGTCAATATATTCTGGATGAAGGCCAATATAATCTAAAGTTAAAATTTGTTCATAAGGACTAGGGAAACTTCCTCGTCGTGTTGCTCCAATCCTTGCTACCCAATATTCATTTTGAGCACTATAGAAACAATAAAATAACCGGAAATGAGTTAAAAGATAACTAAATTAATAACTAGATTTTTCTTTAAATTATTACTTACTGGTAAAAGCAATGAGCTGCTGATAAAATCCATCTGTCATTAATTAGAGCACCTCCACATTGATAATCTCCTTCTTTATATAAAGCCACTTGCCACGGCCAGCTTCCTGCTTCTGAGCTTCCACCTCCGACAATTCTAGAGCGACGATAATGAATAGGTCTTCTGATATTATTTTTATTTTCATTTATTTATTTATTTTTTAATTATTCTAATTATACAACTAATAATATCTTCAAAATATTCATTTCATTATTATTTAAAATTATATGTTTTCTAATTACCTGGCTTGGGAAGTAGTCTGAGTTCTAATTCCGCACTCTAGACTCTTACATTTCACTTTCAAAACCTCTCGAGAAGGACAATGAGAGGTCTTGAAAGAAAGGCTTGTTTTGTCGGAAATCTTATCATTGATAACAAGACTGTAGTAGATTTGATTATCTCCAGCTCGTTCATCAATCACTTTCTCAACATCGTCGTAATCTCTGTAATTAATTGTAATTAGCTAACAAGACTAGTTGTTGACATCAACTTTAAAGTAATAGGAAATAATAGTTAAATAACAATAGAAAAAATGAAATTTAATACATACTGATATGTAATAGCTTTACAAACAGCTCTAGCAAGATCTTCAACAGTCCACATACTTTTTCTCTCATCTTCAAAGCTATCAGTGCTATTCAAACAAAGTTTTCCCCATTTTCCATTTTTTCTGACACTCAGATATCCTCTATCTTTATAACTGTTTATTTCTTCTAAAATTCCTGACTTTTTTATTGGCATTCCCACTTTTGTATTTATATGAAAGTCCTTCGATGATTCTGACTGTAAACTATTTTTATTATTTCCAGATATTTCTCTGCTGATTACTTTAGGATTCTTATCACCAGATAAAATTAATTTACTTAAAATATTTCTATTATTTTTCTGATTGTGATCGGCTTTTAGTCTGTCATTCTTTCCATTATCAAACAATTCAGCGGCAATTATTCTAAATGTTGTAGTTTCCATTTGCAAACTTTCAACAGCTAATTGATCATAGTCTTCATTAATTTCTTTTTTCCTTTCCGATTCTTTTGAGCCATTATCGAATTGGCTTTTAAACTTTTTTGAAAACTTTTCTGCTATTTCTGGTGCTGTGAAATCAATCCTTTCATATTTAGGTTCTGTTTCTTTCTCAATTTGATCTTCGTCTTCTTCTATTAATGCAGCACATTTTCTTTCGTCTTCTCCACCAGGACAATCTCTTAATCCATCGCAAACTTTCTCTCTGTCTACACAATATCGATTGTTTCCACAAATAAACTGACCTTGACGACACCAATCACAGTCAGCTTCATCAGAGTAGTCCCAGCAATCAGCAACACCGTCACAAATTTTTTGGTGAAGAAGTTGAGTACGAAGAAAATCAGCGCATGTACAATTAGCTTCGTCTTCAGAATTTGAGCACTCTCCTAGCATATTACATTTTCCAGCAAAAGGAAGACACTTGCCATCATTGCATTGAAAACCTTCGCATTCTTCAACTTCTTCTATCTTCCTAATATTTTCAGTATTCTTATCTCCAACTTTATTTAAAATTTTCGTGTAAACTTCAACTCCGTCACGACTCAGAGTGATAGCACTGGATATATTAACTTTCATGGTCTCATTTCCAGTTGCTACATCTGCTAGCTTCTTTAAATCTTCAACATTAACTGAAGAAAAATTTTTCAAACCATCTTCCTTAGTATTAATAACGACTATAGGGGTTTTAAATGTTCTAGTGATGTTTTTTAACTTTGATCTAGTGTCGTTGTCTGTTCTCACTTCGGCCAATTTTTTTAACTTCTCTAACAGAGCTTCTCTTTCTTCTGCGGTTGAAATTTTTCTATCAAAACCTTGCCCTTGTGGCCAAGTAAATAATTTTTTTATAGAATCTTCGTTGAATTCTTCTTGTTGATGAAAAGCACGGTTTTCTTCGGGATTATTTTTCGTTTTTTGATCAATTATTGGCATGGATGTGGAATTAGTTACATCAAAACTAAGAACTACATTATTTGTTCTTACATTTGTTAATATTTTAGTACTTATTGATGTTACTACTTCAACAATACTCTTCACTGATGAGTTATTTTCTTCTCCAAAAAAATTATCATCATGCACTATTTCTCTTTCTTTACTTTCATGACTTTGAAGAGAAGGACTAGCATTTTCTGTACTGATAATTTGTTTCAATGTTTCAAAATCATCAGCAGTGATTTTTTCATTTTCTGCAGATTCTTTTTCCCCTCTTACTAACTTTTCTTTGTCATTAATTGGTCTTTTTGCAGGTTTTCCCAACACAGAATTACTTCTCGTAGGTGCTAAAGTTACAATATCACCCACAATATTTGCTTTCAGTGTATCATTATAAGTTTTTTTACTTCCTTCCATGGTATGGTTTGTCCACTTCCAAATAAATAATTCAGGATTCCTTCTAGTAGCAGCTTCTGGTCTAGACACTACTAAATCACTTTCTGTTGAAATTTCATCAACTTCAGAATTTTTTTCCAAATCTTTAGAATCTTCTTCAGGAATTTCCGTTAATTCTCCTTCAGTCTCCATCACCAATTTCTCTCCATTGTTGAAACTCGAATGTATAACTTCAGAAAAAGTTTCTGTTGTACTGAACTGTAATATTTTTTCATCATCAATTTTTTGAGCTATTTTATTTTTATTTTTCTGAGTTTCTATATCAAACTTTTCAATATTCTGTTTATCAATCTGACTTTTATCTATTTCTTCATTCTTTTCTATAAGAATACTTTCATTTTTAACTTCATCTACTTGTTCAACTTGTTCAGGCTCTTCAGTCGAACCAACGGTATGTTCATCATAAATTACTGGATTAATTTTATCAATGGGAATTGTATGTCTGAATGGCTTTAAAGTTCCAGGATTATCAACAAGACTAGGTTTAGTATTTCCATTCAAATCAGGCGTTTTAAAGCTCGTATAGACTGGTACTATCAATGTTTGATTAACTTTTTTATCAATGGAAACCTTATCAGCTTGATCACTAGCTACAGTATCAGTATATTTATTCCTGGACTCGATATCAAGCTCTAAATCAGTAACAGGCTCAGCTACGCCCACTCCAGACACAGGTTTCACGGCTGAAAACTCATCAGAATGAAGAGGAATAAATGTGGTAGCTCTATAACCACTGTAATTGATTTTCGGAGAGTGGGTGGACGTCTTGAAGATGTTCGTGGGTTCTAAAGGATTTAATAATGGTCGGAATCCATTTCCTGGTATCATTGGTTCAAAAAAAGATGAATAGGAAGTCATGCCATGTCCAGGTGCTCCTGTGAAGACTTCAAGAAGACTTTCAGGTTGAGAAGATGTATCTAGATGATGATTTTGCGGTTTTATGTGAGATGAACCGGAAGAAGTTCCTACATGAACGTTGAACGTTTCTTCGGGTAAATGCCCTGCTACCTCTATTTCAGAATTCATCTCAGAATTAGCTTCAGCAATGTCAGGAATTTTATTTCCTTAAATTTTCCGTTAGGTCTGAAATTCACCATCTCTTCAGGTGCTATTCTGTCATGAGGGAAATCAACTTCTTCAAGGTCTACTGGCTTTAGATCCACGGATGGAAGACTAAATTTAAGGTCATCAGGTAACGGTAGCGCTGATGTTAATGAAATGCTTTCGATATTTTTTACTCCTGAAGCATCAATCGACCCATATTTATTCCTTTCTTCGATGGTCACTGGACTCGATACTCCGGAAGATGATGATACTGAAGAAGATTCACGAATTATTGGAATTAATTTTGAATCTGGTTTATACGATGGAATAATTGGTCTCCAAGGAGATTCCTCGAAATCTGGTATGGGAAAATTTTTGAAAGGATCATTGAATTTTTCTGTTGAAGTTGAAGAAATGCTGGCAGAAGTGGAGATTGATGTGGTTGACATACTCGATAAATTCTCAGTTGAGCTTGGAACCAATGTAGTAGTTTTTTCTGAATTTTTATCAGCATCCAAACCCTCAGTAGTAATTTTTTGGTTTACAACTGTGACATTTTCAGTAACCAATAATTCTTTGTTTACTTCATCTTTTTTATTGTCTGATGTCTCATCCTTTATCTCGATTGTTCCTGATTCTATTTTTGTCTCAGTATTTTTCATTCCTGATGTGAAATTTAATTTTGTTGCTTGATATGTTCCTTGAATTGTTGGAATGTTACTAAAGTCAATATCTGCTTCAGTAAGTTCTACTCGTGGTGGTTTTGTCTTTGGTTTTGTGTTCATCATTAATGAGCTGTTTCTATTTGGACGAAGTAATCCATTTTTCGTTATCATTGTGTTTCGCTGTTGGGATGAAGGCTTCTGAGTTCTCGCTGCAGTTACTTCCGATGAAATTCCTTGAATAAGAAAAATACAATTTTTTGAACTGTCCTAATTTATAACTGATATTTTTTTGAATTTAATAAGACAAAAAAATTATCGTTAGAATAAATTTAATGTAATTTAATGAAAAATGATAATGAGATATTTAAAGAAAGTATGGTTGGAATTGTTTGCTGAGTAAAAAAAAAATTACTTCGAATTGAAATGGAAGCAAAATCTAATTCCATGTCTTCAAACATTGATGAAGATGAGTACGTCTCTTTGATGATGGTATCGTGAATTGCATCTTCGATGTTCGTCACAGTGCGAGGAATCTTTCTCTTGTCAAGATATAACCTGAAGAAAACCTTGAGCGTTCCATTCTCGAATTTATCTATGATGGTCTGCTTATACGAAGGACCAAGGACGCTTTTTTTAAACAGCATCCCAAGCTAAGGATCAAAGAAAAGAATTTTTGGTTCACTTCATACCCTAACAATGAGACTGCTGACAACTATAGAAAGAATTTAAAAAAAATAATAATAATTTGCTATAAAAAAAATTATTTTATCTTTACTATAGTTTTTTTTGCATTGTCAGGTAAATTATGAGGTTTTCTTAACCGAGACAAATATAATTTGACTCACAATGTTTTTGTACTTGCGTTCTTTCTCACGAAATACCATGCTGGTGTTGAGCTTTAGCATTGGATTGTACTTTTCCCCTTGAGTTATTCTGAAGCTGCACGAGAACCCGATTATTGCTGAAATAAAAAATTGTACCATCATTATTTAATAATGTGTTTAATAGTAAGTTGTACTTGCAGTTAATATTTACTTTTTCAATTCTAACTAATAAATTTACAGTAAAATAATTTTCGTATTGTTTAGAAATAATTGGGAATATTTTAGATAAAAAAAAGATTTTGTAAAATTGTTCATTAAATTTATCAAATAATTTATAATACTTACTATTTTTTGCGTCAGATCTCATAGCTGAAATCAAATCAAATAAACAAAAAATTATTATTAATTCATAAATAAATATATTATTGTTAAATTTATTTTTTTATGCTTATTGCATTGATGCAAGTATTTAGAAGAACCCTAAGCAAGATGATACACATAAGACTTATCAATCTAACAAGATGTAAAAGTGTAATTTGCATTATGCACAGTCTAAAAAATTCAATTTTTAGTCATTTATGTAATGATTGAAATAAGTCATTTAACTTTATATTTTTCTATATTCAAATATTTAAATTTTACATATTGTAAATAATTTTTGAAGCGATCCATTTTTTTTCACTGGAGGGTCTTGCCTCAGTTTCCTCTGCTATTATGTCATTTTTATCGGACATAGCAACAGTAATAAATAGTCTATTGTCCACGTTTCTAGAGACTTGCAACATTAAAATACTAGTTATGCTTTTCGCATCTAACATGTAGAGTTTATACATTAATACCGGAGTACTCGCCTAATTGCTTAGTTACAATAAATAATAATTCTTTAACTCCATGCTTGAAATTTATATACCTATAATTTCTATTTGATTAAAGTGAAATAAAACACTTTTATTCATCTTTACCCTTAGGAGTGGCAAGTATCCCGACTATACCCTATATTGTACATGTTTATTCACTGTGTGTATGTTTAATTTTCTTTTAAGATTTTATTCATCATCGATACTCTTAATCGTTTACTCACTAGTGTGTTGACCCTAACTATAAAATTTATCAGCATAATTACTTCTACAGCATATTAAAATTTCAAGATTATTAAAGATGAGGAGGTTTAACTCAATATTGACACGTATTTATTGAGTATATATAAATATTTTTCAAGTGATATACAAACCTCCCATCCATAAGGCAAGTCCAGCAATAGACAACACAACTAAAAGAACAAGCAAAGCGGCAACAATAAGCACAGCGCTGCCAATTTTCCACCTTGCATTACTTTGTATATTTTTTGACGAGTGTGGAGGAACTCGAGACCATGTTGATCGCGGTGGTAAATAATAGTCATTCTGCAACAAAGTAAGAATATAAAAAAAATAATATAATGATTATTAAAGTAATAGTCGTAGTGTGTTTAAAATTCCGTGAACGATAACACAGTGATGTCGTACATTTTGTAATATTAAATAAATCCGTGGAAAATTTATGGCATTGTCTAGCGGTATTTTGAGAGGACATACGCCGTGCGGAACACAAATGGTCTGTGCCGTTATAACGTCAGTATGGACATCATTATAAGCACTTACGATTGGTCATAACAATATAAAGAATGCAGCTAATAAATTGGAAATGGAAAGATAATTAAAATTAACAAAAGAAATTTAATTGAAGAATCAAGTCGTCTTCTTCATAAAGTCAATTATCAATAGCTTTCTATAGTGTTTTAACTTATGTAATTCACTACTAACTCTTTCTCAAACAAAACAATGCTTTCAAGAAAAAACATTTAAACAAATGAAATTTATGCAAGGTAGTGAATTATGAGAAAAATGTGAGTTAAAGAGAAAATAGTCATGTAAGATTTTTGCAAATGTTTATTTATTGATTATAATTAATATTAATACTTATGAAGTATTTTTAATTGTATTTATTTATTTAACATATAAATAGATTCAAAAGAATGCAGTTCATGAAGACATACATGGGCTTATCGACAATCTAGAAAATGATAAAAAAGAAAAGATCCGTAGGTATCTTACTCATTACAAGTGTTTCGAGATTTATGCATTACATATACTTCACATGAATAATATTGTTCACATGTAGAGCACTACTCTTCAGTAACGTCTCTTAGTGGATAAAAACATGATATCTACCCTTAATTATTTTTAATTAATTTTAGAAACCAATTTTTATTTAAAAAAAATGCAAAACGAAGGTATAAAATTTTAAAACTTTTGTAATAACATACAAAAGCAATAGTAACATGAGAGCATATTACTTGATAATTTAATGGATAGTAAAAGATTGATTGTAGTCAATTGTCCGGATGGATAAAAGCTACTGTAAAAATATCTTGTCAAGTATATGAAAATTTTATAATAATATAATAATTAAAGTCAAGTAAAATTATGGGATGTCTAATAAAATGAATTAATGATTAATCAGTATTTATTAGTAATATTTAAATATAAGTTTTTTAATTATTTTATCTAATTGTGTAAATACTTATAAATTTTTCTGTTTATAAACGATTTATAAATAATTAAACTGAACAAAATAGCAATAAACACTTTCAAGAAAATATTTTTCCCAAATACATGTGTACATACTAGCTTTAAAATATTTTTAGAAAAATAGCTCAAAAGTATTTGTATTTAAATACTATTCAAATACTTGCTTTTGATTTTTTACAAGGCTATTAAGATTAATGAATAAATTAACACGTTTATAAAATTTAGGTAATAAATGAATTAATTATTACTATAATTCAAGATAATATTATTGATTATTTCGTGTGAGGTACACTCAAAGTATTCCCTTATTAAGAAATAAGAAAATGTCTATACTTAAGGTGTAAATATCCTGTCTTAGCTTACGTTAGATTAGCCTTTGCTAGAGTCATGCATAACTTGAGAGAATGCATGCTTATCTATTTTATGATTTTCCTCATCTCACTTCATAGGACTTTTCGTTTTGTTTTGTTATAGCTTTACACCTTTTTAATCTGCTTCCTTAATTTTTTAGGTTTTTTTATCAACCATATTGGACATTCTTCCTCCATTAACACTGAAGAATCTTGTATTGGAGGAAAAGAGTAAATAGAGACCTGAAGGTGAATGATTACTATACGAGATCCCTTCAAGCTCATGGCAATTATCTTTTAGCAAAAAAATTCTTTGAATATTTTTCAAGCAAATTTTGATGCGCTACACTGAGAAAAGGCTTCTTATTACAGTTAACTCGGTGGAATAAATTATTTATTTGCTTGGATGCATTTTTTGTTTTATTTTAACAATTTACTCCTTGTAAGAGTTATTAAGAACTGAATCATGCCAACGAACTTATTTATTATCATGAATTATTATTTTTTTTTATAAGAAATAGTTCAAGAAATGGGTTGTTTTTATTTATTTTTTTATTTATATCCAATTTTTTGTAAAAACAGCTTTAATTTTTTTTTTGTAATTTGTTTACTATTAATAATTCGTATGAATTATTATATTTTTTTAATCAAAGTAATGAGAACAATAAACTGTCAACCTTTACGGATTTGGAAAATTGACTATTTTCAGTAAAAATACGGTCAATTATCGGTAACATATTTTTTACTGAATTTCAACCGTATGAATACAGTTTTATTGTGCAATTTTTTAACTTTTTTTAAAGTAGAGGAGAAGGTGGGACTATGGTCTATTCTTTAATATGGCCAATTCGTTTATTATCAGAGCACAGTGCGTCTGCTATCAGCTAGCCCACAAATATATTGAAAAATAACTTCTTGGCAATGAACAGAAATTTGGAAAAATGGCAATTGATGATAATTTAACAGAGTAAAATGTAATTGAATAAAAACAAAAAGTGGAGCTAAATGAAGAAATTTCAAAGACTTTTAATATAAAAGAATTAAGAAAAGTAAACATTCATAAAAATGACATTATGATAAAAGTAACAATCTATCCATTTTTGTTATTAAACTAATGAATCAATTGATTACATAACAATAAACAAACTAATTTGAACATTAAGGATGACAAAGTGAGCATTGGACTATTGAATAGACACCATTTACAGAAGATTAAAAAATGGTTAAAATTAAGGTGCAATAAAATTTTTTTATTTTAAAACTAAATCTGCTTAATAAAAAACACATGTAATTTTTCTCAAATACTTTTTTTTTATCTTCTGGGTTCAACTGTCCATTTATTGATGTATTCACTCTATATTCTTGACTGCTTCTAAGTGTATACAATTATGTATAATGATATCAAAAAATGTCCATACACTTATTTTTTCTCTTAAAGCTTCAAAGAAATTCATAATATAATTATATTGACATAAAACTGATCTATAAATATACATAGGCATAAAGTGAAATTAAATTATAAAAGGTATAAAAATTGGTGTTCATCTATTAGTAGAAAACTGTCTATTTTTCGATTAAAAAGTTTAATAACCACTTCTGGTTCTTTGTAATAAAACACTTCCGAAAACCAAGATTATCAGTGTTATTACTCCATTTAGAATCCACATTGATAATTTAATCTCATCAGTTCTCCTGTAAAATAACCTCCCAACAATATAATACCCTTCCAAATTGAATAATACCAGAAACACATCAAAGTAATAATTTTTTAATAAAAATAATGGATAAATTAGTTCATATAATCTCAAAGTTACCTTAAGGAATAATTTAAACAATTTTTAATTAATATGCGTGAAATTAATTCAAAGATAAAAAGTAATTTTTATTGAATAATTTGTTGAGGGAATATTTTTTATGACTGTGCAGGTGCTGTCAGCCATTATTTCGAAGTTAAAAAAAATGAAGAAATTGACGAAGAGGACGAAGAAGATGAACAAGAAACGAACAGAAAAAAAGGAGAAAAGGTGCGTTCGAAGGACGAAGGAGATGAGAAGTCTAAGAATTATTGCACGATTCTCATGTGTTCTGAATTGCAATTGACACTCTTAGACGACCCTGAAGTGACTACTAAGTAATGTGTGCAGTCCATTGTGGGAAATTAATGACGTGGCTGAGGTGAGTTAACATAAGACTATTACGTTTATTTTTATTTCTTTGTATTTATTAAAGTGGGTCAATCGAGTATGTTTATTCTAATAATCTAGATCTTGTACTCATTACCAAGAACATTCGATTGTTTTATCTAATGAAATATTCTTATAGCATCTCTTGTTTCAAAGATCAAAAGAACATTGGCTATAAGTACTTGGATGCTTACACTTAAGTTGTGATACCGAGCATGGCCAACTACAGGGATCGTAGAGCGTGGTAACAGCTACATGCGATTCATGAAACGTCATTAGCTCTTGCAAAATTACTTTATAATAACTAGCGGAAATGACACTCTGTTTAAAAAAATTTTTTCACTTTTATAACTACGGTAATGACTAATTATTTCCGAGTTTAATTTTTATCCAAATCGGTGTCAGTCGTGATATGCATTTAATTTATTGAATTTTAGAAGTAGCAGCAAGCATACAACGTTTATCTAATAACAGTTACCACACCTAACTGTTTAACGAGATTTTATTACTTTGATTTATTTTCTTGGACAAAAAATGTTATTTTTTATTCTTTCTCAAGTTAATATAATCTAAAATAATAAAAACAATTATTTATAATAAAAATATGAGATCTCAGGATCTGAATGAGTCTCAATCACCAACAAATTCATGAAGAATTGCTAGTGAAAAATAACGAAAGTTGCCTATAATATAGATAAAGAATATTTTATAATATTTTTTTAATTATTAAATATTATTATTCTAATCTTCTAAGTCCATTATAATCATCACCATCATTATTCACTAAGCACCATACATCCTTTTATCCAATTATTCACCCATTAAAAACAAAGCAATAGCTAAAGCCACAACAACCTTGTACAACACAGCTCAACATATAAACAAAGAATACCAACAAAAAGCACATCGTATATCAACGAATACCATCGGTTAATCAGCATGATCAGTCGATCATGAAATAAGCCTATTAGCATCAAACAAAAACTTTTTATTCAATATTCAACTATTGACTATAAATATAACCGGGTATCAATATATACTTCCAAAACATCAATAACAACACCAGGTAAAATATTCTTCATGGTTATTACACAATAATATTCAATTATATTGTCCATAAAAAATATTTTAATTGACTTATATTAGTATGTTTATAGTGTCTGTCGGTCCAATTAAATTTTACTTCCATGAAATTGATGGATAGGCTATAGTTTATAGCTAAAGAAGTGCATGTAGGGCGTGGATCATGACCTAGGTACAAAACTGTACGTCCTTCGACCAGTTGGAAGATGCGTTTGAG